GGGCAGTCTCGGGCACAGCATCTTCCCCTTTAAGATCTACCCAGGTCGGGAAGTGCATCAAACGTTCCTATGTAAAGTTTTTCTATAGTAAAATTCACTGGTCGGAGCAAAATTATTTTAAGGTAAAAGCAACATACTAAATATTGTACTATATTTACTATGATATTATCTTTTCTTCTATTTCTTTCAGGTAACACATTTTCAGCAGCCTTCCAACATGAATAGTAAAGCTTTAAACTACTAAATCTCTCACCTTCACCACTTCTGCAATTACATTCATAAAGTCTGATACACAAATTCCTAACATGCACTTATGATTCAATCTACAGTATTTCCACATTGAAAAAGAGAGCATTAAGTAACTTTGAAGTATTAAAGACACAATGTCATATTATATATATAAAATATGTATACCTAACCATTAATAAAATGTCACCCTTGTACAAAATATTCTTTATGGAAACTAATTGATACATTAGACAACATTCTTTCCACTCCATATATGCTTGGAACACACTAGTCATGCTATTCACTGTTAATTTTCACTTGATTATTATATAGTATACCATAATCTAAGATAATTCATAATCCTTAGTCTTGAGACATTGCACCGTTGAGAAGGCACAATTTTCCTTAGCAAACAAGTGTTACCAAATAAGGGTTCAGAAACTTACTGCCATGCGCTTCACTTCAAAGGAATGTAGGGTGGCAGAACAGACCACCATCTGGAGTCTCTTGCCTTCAGATGTGATTTTGGGTATGGAGTTGTAGATGTTATTGATGAGACGCTCATGCCCCTGCAATACCAGTACACTTGTATACAAGATAAAGTAATTACATGAAACAAAATATGGCAAGAAATTTAATGCAATAAATGAAAGTCAACAAAATACAGTAATGCATCAAGTTACCTTATAAATAAATCAGCTGTATATTTAAAGTCATTTAAAAAATATGACCAACCTTTCCAGGATGAAATCTATAAAAGTTACCCAACTCTCAAGTGCCCATTTACTGATAGCCAAAGATGCACATTAAGGAAATGTGTAAATGTTCCACGAGTAGTAGTCAAGAGTTCTTAGTTTTTTTTCTAATTCATAAGGCAAGCTGATAATACAGTACTTGAATTTATATCAGGTATTCCTGCATATTTACTACCAAAATATAAAAAGTACTTTTCCTTGGATAAAATCAAACTTACCTGTTTAAGAAGTCCATCAGCCTCATCCAACACAAAGAATTTGCAAGACTGGAGAGAGAGTTGTCCTGTACAGTATTAATAAGATCTTCCAAGCGTCCTGGAGTACCACAAACAATATCCACACCTGCATTGAGTGCTGCTATTTGCTCCTTCACGGGTATACCACCAACAACAAGAAGGTCACGAACCACTGGATTATCTAGATGCTTACGAAACATTTGAACCTGTTTTAGGGTCTGTTCTGCGAGTTCTCTTGAAGGCTGTTAAATGATAAAAACTTTTGTTTGCATTAAAAAAAAAATGGTCTGCTTTTGGAACTTGCCACTTCTATCTAAACTGTTTAACAATTCACATAGCACAACATACTACTTTTAGTTTGAATTTTCATATTGTATGTATCCAGGATTTAATGAACAGGTTAGTTTAAAAGCAACAGTGATGTAAAAATGAATCTGTACCGAACTGTATAGGTTATATTGTTAGACATCCATCCAGCAATCAATATAAACCAGATACTGGACAAGTAAATATAGACCAGTGACGTGTTACCATTCTTACCTCAATAATGACAGCATGTGGAGCATTGTTCTGAAGCTTTTGTGGCTTGTCTCCACCTCCCTTCACACCTGAGCTCACAGTACAGTCCTTGCTGGCCTGAGACACTGCTACGTATCCCGCTTTAGGTGGGTGCTTGAACTCTGTTGCACCAAAATTGAAAGACATCTCTGCATTCTGGAAATCACGTAAATTGCTATCATCTGTAACTTTCAAATATCATTAAATTCACTGAAGTTATTCTTGCACTTTATTGAAATTAGAGAGATTTGAGTAAAGAACTAACAGTTAAAAACTGATAGAAAATTCAATAAGAAATTTACTTATTTGTATTAATTTTCTTAATGACCTAGATCATAAATATGATCCAAATTTTGGAGGTATCACTGTATATATACATGACCACTATACACTTTTGAAATACACCAAGTCCAAATACTGTGACAAATGCATAACCCAAAAAAAAAAAAAAAAAAAAACTGGGCAAATTTCAGTCTGCCTTAGACCATATCTATAATTAATTAATAACATCATCCAATTATCCACTGCTTAAAATACACAACTAACATGAATAATGCATGTACTATACTACCAACCTTCAAAACTACAGCTGGATGGAAGACAGCATTCTTGAATTCACTTCGTAATGTGAAAGCTTTACCTAAATCGGTGCCATTTTTGCTGTAATGCATCTCCATGGCATCCAGGTTGAGATAGCAACCAATGACATCCCTGAGGCCAAAAGATTCACCATAATCGTCAAACTGCTTGCAATTAGACATTTTTCCAGTGCCTCCAAATCCAAATCCCGATTTACATGTTCCAAGATCTAATGCTGCCTGAAAATATAAGTTGTTTTGGTTGTGATTATAAAAAATATTATTGCATAAAGGCAATTGATAAAATATAACATCTCCCAATGCAGGTGAAAATACAGTACAAACTACAGCAAGCCTTTGCTTCTTTAAGTTTTGAAACCATTAAATTCACCTAACATGAGGTAGGTACTTTTTTTTTTTTTTACTACAAATACGCAAGTAATGGTTTACTAAGCACAAATTAGTGTTTTAATTTGTTTTACCAACTTTCTGCATTAAATTCTCGCATAATTATCTTTTCCAAATGGTCTTCAATGCCTGTTCCTTCCACCTCCCCCCAAAAAAAATAAAAAAATATTTACTCACTTTCATTACCGTTTTGGAAACAATGGCCGTTTCCAGGATGGAGGTGTCAAACAGTTGGGTTTAACTTTACCAGTGTTCTCTTTGGCGAGTAACCATGTTTAATAAATGATATTCAATCAAGTCATTTTCTGATATGCAGAGTGCAGCTGCATTTCCCTCAACAATGGCTCGATTCGTCTGACTTCATCAAATATTTGTACATCATCATCAATGGATGTGCTAGTCGATGCATTCAAATATGGTGCCGACTTTCCTGGCAGTTGTGTTGATTTCAAGGATTGAATTTGTTGGTTAATATGGAGAGTTTGGGGCAAATGCTGCCTGGAAGTTTAATATGGAGAGGCTTGCAGCTATTATAACAGTTTACAATCTTAAACTTGTTTTCATGAAATTTGCTTATGTAAAGCAAGGGCTTACTGTATTATTATTATTATCACATGAAGATGAAAATACATGTGAAAAATGCAATCTTTAGAACAAAAGGAGTTGTATACAGGTATAAGTAAATAAGGAAGATTATGATATGACTACTTGTGAAAACTTCACTACAAAATCATACCTACCATAGTACCACTTCTGAAGCAATTCTATGAATACCATTTTGAAAGATTAATGCAGAAAACTGGCCCTTAGGCTATGTTTTTGGGAAGATATGCACAAGATTTGATCCAAGAAGTCGCTAGAGAACTACACTGCCCCATTTCAATTTAAACTCGTTACACCATAGTAACTTGTGTAATATCAAGTTGACAGGTAATGGCATTAATAATATATTGCAGCCCATTCACCTGTTTTAATAGTACTTATAGGAAGGATGAGGACGCTAATACATGTACATATGGGCCAATAGGCTTTCTGCAGTTACCTTCATTCTTATATACCGATGTACAACACAATTAGAAAGTAGAAATTGACGTGTTTTCTTCTTAATAACTTATTAAACCAAAGGTCTTTTTATGTCAGAAGAACGGCAGAAACTGGATCTATATATGAAAACTCTTTCAGGACAAAATTTAAAGTAAAACTAAAGATATTTGTAGTTGTATAAAAGTTGCATTTTTCATCGGTCGTAGAGCCGGAAATCCGCAATATTCATCTCAGAACAATGCTTATTTCACGCAGAATCGTTAATAAACGTAAGATTTTTATGTCTCAAGAAAGATAGAAACATAAATTTACTTTAATCTAGTTTTACATAATCTAGTTTTACTTTAAATTTTGTCATGAAAGAGTTTTCATATATAGATCCAGTTTCTGCCGTTCTTCTGACATAAAAAGACCTTTGGTGCAATAAGTTATTAAGATGTTTTCAACAATATTACTAGGGCGTTCACCGATTCCAACATGGGCGACCCTTTTGGAAACGCATGGAAACGCAACACTTGGGTTGACCCGATTGACAGACTGGTTATATTCCAACAGGGTCTGCGTCTTGACCCTGCGTCTTGACCCTGCGTCTTGAACCTGCGTCTGCGGTTGCACCAAAATTGAAAGACATCTCTGCATTCTGGAAATCACGTAAATTGCTATCATCTGTAACTTTCAAATATCATTAAATTCACTGAAGTTATTCTTGCACTTTATTGAAATTAGAGAGATTTGAGTAAAGAACCAACAGTTAAAAACTGATAGAAAATTCAATAAGAAATTTACTTATTTGTATTAATTTTCTTTGGTGATTTGAATGACTGAAGACCTGAGTCAGGAGTCCTGCCCGGGTTTGTTTACATGTGATAAACAATTGACAAGGAATTACTTTGTAATAAGAAAACGTAGTAATAATTTTTACTAATTTTATATATATACGTATATAATAATTTTGCAATGTTTCATTGTTTGATAGAAGTTTTATAGTATATTGTATATTTTATTTGACAGCTGAGAGCTACCTAAAACTTTCATTGGGTTATAATATTTCCAACTATGAGACTTATAATCACCATCTTATATCTAATACCTACAATTACAACTGCCAATAATACAAACACGACAAATCATCTGTCATAGGCCCAAACTGACCCACAAAGCTGTATAAATAACGGATATAGACATAAGTGAGTGGGGGCGCCGCCTGGTGGCCGAGGGTGACACTAGAGGTTGATGGGAGGATCCGTATCCCGGCTGACCTACACCACCTCCACGATATTGTCCTCCTTCCTCGCCTCCTGCTCTGCTCTGCCCTCTACCCTCACGCTCAAGTATATATATATATATACCTTGTTGTATATAACAACACTATAAGACGCAATATTGTTGTATAAGACATGGGCCATAAAGGTAATAGGGGGAAGGGTTAGTTCACTCTTGATGACTCTTAGGCAAGTTTTACCTGAATTTACCTGAGGGGTCACTAATATTAGTGACTTCGACGAGGGCTGGAAGCCGATGGCTTGTCAAAGGTATTTCCCCTTCCCCCCACCAGAAAATGATTAATTTAATCATTTTTAAAATGTGTCAGACAAATTGTATGCATCATTATTCATTATGGTAGGACTTGTAGCCAGTTCTTGTAAGATAAGTGCACTTCCTGTACATAACCAATGTCTGTTTAAAACTTAAATACAGTATGTATATATTTCAAATATAATATACAGTATATACATTTCATTACGGAATGCAGAAAGTAGACACAAGCAAGATATGCAACACTAACCCCACACAACCATATCGAGAACTCGTTCTCGAAAAAAAGCACACACACAAAGATGCAGCAGTAACACCTGCTCAAAAGCCAGTCTAGTAGTTGTGCAATGTGCACATGACGCAGGTTAGTGAACAGCCTCGTTAGATGCTAAACATTCAAGTCGCCACAGTAAGGGTGACTTATGTAATGGTTGGCCAAGTCCTGTATACCTAAGTCAAACATGTTTGTATTTAGGAGGAGTGAGGGAGCTTAGAAATGTAATCATGTTTGTTGTGTCGACAATACAGTACTTCCAACGCTTGTGTTAAACAGTTACCAAGTAGCACAACACCATCGAGCAGAACACACACTGAGTACACTCGTTACTGAATATAGTCGGCAATTAATGTAAGTGTTGGCAAGTATTTAAGTATTCTTTGGCATTTTTCAGGTAAACGTACATTTCTACAATGACGGACTCCAAGTACTTCACAACCACCAAGAAAGGTGAAATCTTTGAACTGAAATCAGAGTTGAATAGTGACAAAAAGGAAAAAAAGAAAGAGGCTGTGAAAAAAGTCATCGCGTCTATGACTGTTGGTAAGGGAAATTCTATTTGCTTTTTAATTAAGTGAATGTAATTTAAATATTGGAAGAAAATTATTTGTTTGTATTAAAATTAAATGAATAAAAGGTGGGGATGAAATTGACAAAGCCATATTTGCTGAATTTGGCTTTGCCAATGTCTAATGTTTAATTCAAATTTGCCGAAATGTCTAAGAAAACAAAGGTGCCAACAAAAAATGTATATTATTGTTTTCCAGTACAGTAGTATTAGAATAAATGCAAGGCTAGTGTATGCTAAAATTACACAGGGACAACTGGACGTAATTATTCCCCACTTTAGTCCTCATTTATGAAAGTGGAAAAAAATACACTAAACCATTCTTTTTTAAATTAAGCCATTTTAAAGCCTTTTGGATTTTGTTCATCAAACAAGTATGATGGGCTCTATAAAATTGTACCTAAACATCTTGACCTTTTAATAACATTTTCTCCCAATATTACTATTTCCAGGGAAAGATGTATCGGCTCTGTTTCCTGACGTGGTCAATTGCATGCAGACAGATAATCTGGAACTAAAGAAGCTAGTTTACCTTTATCTTATGAACTACGCCAAGTCCCAGCCAGATATGGCCATTATGGCTGTAAACACATTCGTTAAGGTAATGTGCTGTAATGTTTGCAGTGCATGTCATTGTAATTATGCTGTCTCTGGGTTATATCTAAGTGCACTACAGTACAATAGTATCTTTTATGGTTAGTTTTAAAGGTTATATTTCACTCTTCCTTTTCTCTCCCCTTACCAAAAATGGTTTCAGGCAATAGTATTTCAGTATATCTTATGGAAGATGCATCTATTTATTATTTAACTTGGCTATGGTTATCTTTATTTGTTCACTTAGTGTTTGCTATAATTTTTAAAGAGTTTAGCTTAATACAATGTTGTTATAGCATTTTATTATTATTATTATTTTATTATTATTACACTGCTATATACATTGGGTCCTGTAGTACAGTGGCCTACGTTCTCAACTCACAATCGAAGATCCCAGGTACAATCCCTTAATGAAACAGAAATGGTCAGGAAGATTTCCTTTCACCCGACACTGCTTTTCACCTAGCACTAAATTAGTACCCAGGAGTTAGGTAACTTGTGGGTTGCACCCTGTGGAAGGTCAGCCCTTGATACAAGCCTAAGTACAGGTTTTCATCACCCGGACTCTGGGAATTATTAATTAGCACAGTACTAGATTATCATGCTTTTCAGGACTGTGAGGACCCTAATCCTCTAATTCGAGCTCTGGCTGTGCGCACAATGGGATGCATACGAGTTGACAAGATAACAGAATACCTCTGTGAGCCATTGCGAAAGTGCTTGAAGGATGAAGACCCATACGTACGGAAGACGGCAGCCATCTGTGTTGCTAAGCTGCATGATATTAATGCCTCCATGGTGGAAGACCAAGGCTTCCTTGATCAGTTGAAGGAGCTTCTCTCTGATTCTAATCCAATGGTAATTAGAAAACAAATGTTTTGTAATGATTGTTTCTATTTATGTAAAGGGCATTTAAACTTTGTATGAATGTTCTTTTCAAATATCAAAAACTGTACACCATTGTGGAAAAACATGCTTTGCTATAATGTGCACAGAGGAGACAAGTCAGTTGAGGTAAACAAGTGTCTGTTCCTTCAAGTTGAACAAAGCCCAAGTGTCATTTTGACATGTAATATGAGGCTAGTGGTTCCACTTGATTTTTACCTATATGGTCAAACTTCCTAAGAAATATATATATTTTCCAAAAATACCTCCAAATTTTTTTAGCATTTAGACCGCATTTCATGACACAGTAATAGTATTTGTAATTATAAATGCAGATTGGGCCAAAAATGTCATCACTGATATTTTTTAATTTTAATTTATGATTGTTCGTCTACATAAATGTTAAATTATTTACTACTTCAGGTTGTTGCAAATGCTGTTGCATCCCTTACTGAAATCAATGAAGCCAGCAGCTCGGGACAGCCATTGATGGAACTTAATGCAGCAACGATGAACAAACTTCTCACCGCCCTCAATGAGTGTACTGAATGGGGCCAGGTGTTTATCCTTGATGCACTCTCTCAGTATAGCCCAAAGGATGAGAGGGAGGCACAAAGGTTAGTCTGACCTTTTGAACCTATTTGTAACATGCAGGACTGCATCTACATTTAACCCTTAAAGGCTGGTTATCGTCATGTGTGTTGATCTTGGGGCAAATACGGTTGCCGTAATTTGTTAATTTTAGTTGTCATCTGGTTTTTATACAAATGATGTAAATATAATTATAAATCATTTATATGGATGTAACAGTTACCCTAGACCAGTGGAAGGATTCTGCTGTAATTTTTTAGTTTACTGTGCAATGAAGTTATGGTATCATGTGCTAGTTGCTTGTGATTATCATCAAATTACAATTTGGTCTTTTCCTACTAGTGTTTGAATTACCAGGATAATGTTCTCATACTGAATAGTAGCAAAGAAGTGGGTTGCAATACACTTTCTTCGAGATGTGCTGCAGACAGGTTTATGATTTGTAAGGAATGGATATTACATTGTAGGCCTATATGCCAAACTCAATCACCATTTTTATGTGTACAGTACAAAGATAATTATTAAAAGAATTATGCAAATTAATAAGTAAAGCCAGATGTGTAAAACTGTTCAACTTGATCATTCAGGCTCTTACCCAAAGTTTGCCTGTCTCCCTCCAACATGCTCTAGCTCACATCCTCTTATGAGTGGCTGTCTAAAGCCTTTTTAGGTCTAGGTAGATGCAGTCAGCCCAATCGTCTCTTCTGTAAGATCTCTGCAGTTTTATCATAAAACTATTTAATTTGTTACACAGTCTACCTGTTCAGAAAGGTTATGTCTGCCCATGCTCTGTCATTTTTTCCAAGTATTCTACCTATTTGGTTTTAGTGATTTGACTACCATGCTTGTCAACAAAACAGGAAATTTAGTGGGTTTTCTCTGATAATTGTTTGGTAGTGTGGAACTGTTTGCCTTTTCTGTATATCTGCTAGGTTTCCTGTATGTAAGTATGCATGAAAAAATCAATAGTAACAGAATGCTCAGCTTGGGTGCACATTCCCTTAGAACCTAGGTGAAACTCCATCTGGGCGAACTGCTTTTTCTTCCTGCCTCCTTGAGCAGATTTTCTACTTCATCAATATAATATATATATATAAATACTTCTGTCAATATACTCTGTGCTGTGCACTGAAGTTTGTATTGTCTGGTTTTTCTGAATGCCTCATTTTGTGTTTTTCACACATTTCCTTTTCAATCTCTGAATCTGTATGACATTGTTAACCACTGAATTTTATCCTTTACATGCAGTTTGCTTTTTATGAATCTATTGAATAGACTGGGTTCCATTTTACATTTATCAGCTATCCCATTTGCAAAGTTTCTTTTGCTCCTCTTCATCGTTGTGTAGTTTTCTTGTTTGTATTGCTTGATATGTTTGACAGTTAGGCTTGTTAGGCTTCTTCCTATACTGATTACATTTTTTTTGCTGTTCTCTGGACCTTGCAATTTATGTTGAATAAATCCTGTTTCCCGTTCTGCATCTCTTGTTTCGGTATACTGTATATTTTTGTGTACCTTTAATATTTCGTAAAATTTGGCATTAATCTCATTTACTTCCTAGTTTAACGAATCTTTCCAATCAGATTCATTAAAGAACTTGCTAAATTCCCTAAGTTCTTCTCTTGAAAAAAAGTTTTTCAACTGTTTCACACCCCCATTCTCTTCTAGATTATAATGCACTGCATATTCAATTTCCAAAGGGACATGGTTGCTCTTACCCAAGGGAGGATGGTACTGAATTGGTTTATATTTGAATTTTTCTCTCTCATTAGTATATACACGTACAGTAATAGTTTTGTTGCTCAAGTGTTCTATAATACATTCATCTAGGATTGTTTTATTGACAGATATCCTTTATTTATTAAAATTTAGCCCTTAAATATGCTGATTTTTACAGTATCTGTGAGCGCATTACACCTCGTCTTGCACATGCAAATGCTGCTGTGGTCCTGTCTGCAGTGAAATGCCTCATGAAATTCATGGAGTTGATGGTCAGTGACTCTGAATTTGTTAAAAACCTGACCAAAAAACTGGCTCCACCATTGGTAACTCTTCTGTCATCTGAACCTGAAGTAAGTTTCTTACTGGTCATTGTTATCTCAATTACTATTTGAAGTCCTCTACCTCACTTTTCTGTTGTACCAAAATGAATCTTGCTTATCATTTGTAATGCTGTTGCTCTATCAAGACCCACTGTGCACCTCTTATTATCCTGAAGAATTCATGTTCAAAATGTTCAATAAAGGAAGATGCCTACTTTGCATTTTTTTCTTTTGTGATATTGCTAATTGTCAGTTTAATTTGTTACAGGTGTCTTTCAAAGAAACTATTAACACCATGTGCATCTCTTGTATCGATAATGGTAATACAGTATGGTAGGCTTTATTTTTTATGCGTGATTTTTAATTATTAGTATACCATTAATTTATTCAGTAAATAGGTTCTTGCAAAATTATTTAATTATTTGAAAAATTACTAGTGTTGTAATTTCAAGGTAATACATGTGATTGTTAAAACAGTATTTTTCAGCTATGCCTCATATGACTGAATGCCAGTGTTTTCTGGTTTGGCCTCATCCACTTGGGTTGGTCAATAGTACAGTCTTCACCTCTGGCTAGGTTGGCATTCAATACCTTGATGGTCTAAATGGTTGGGTAATATTCTTTCACTCTATTCTCCTATCCAAGCTCTTAGGATGTCCTTGTATCCCTTGCATATGCTGTATGATCATACTAGCTTAGCACTTTATTGCATTTGGGATTGGCCACCTCAGTAACTCCGTGGAGTTGAAGCAATAAAACTACCAAGCCACTACTCTTATCATTATTTTTGTTTCTCTTTTTATTCAGGTTCAGTATGTTGCTCTTAGAAACATCAACCTGATTGTCCAGAAGCGTCCTGACTTGCTGAAACACGAGATGAAAGTTTTCTTTGTCAAATACAATGATCCTATATATGTCAAGCTGGAGAAGCTGGATATCATGATTCGCCTGGCATCTGAAGCCAACATTGTTCAAGTTTTATCTGAACTGAAGGAGTAAGTTTTTTTTTTTGTTAATGCTGATGCAGATTTAAGACAAAAAGGTTTCAACCTTGTAAAAGAAAGTGGGACATTAATAATTGGTATATTGACACTGCTTATCCTGCCAAAAAATGCTGGCTAATTTGAGCTTAAAATCCTGTCGGTTAAATGTGGTGTTAATTAATATTTGGTTGGGCATTTACATAAGCTTTCTTTACTCTGCTTTATGAAGTTTGTGTATTTTATTGACAAACATTTGTTAAATCTTATTTTTTAAGCAATTATTTTGGCATAATTTTTCTTAACTTTAAGTATCGTTTCATTTTGCTGTGTCTTTGACTATGCCACATTGTGTGCCATGATAGTAAAGCCATGATGATAATACTTGAGCTTTGATAAGGAGAGACCTGTTCCTGACAGTCTGAAGACCTCAGTATAAATATATTTAGTACTTTTACACACCATTTTGAGGAATTTTAGGAAGTTTTATGAATGTAGTATACATTAGACTTGTTTAAATTTTAATATATTTTTCAGCTTCTGAAAATACAGTAATACATTTTCTTTAAAAATTTGAATTCTTTGTATTTAAAATTTGTGTTAATCACTTAGATACTGTACTGTTGGAGGAAATAGTGAAAAGCAAACAAAAAATTTCAGGTACGCCACAGAAGTTGATGTTGACTTTGTGCGAAAGGCTGTTAGAGCTATTGGGCGCTGTGCTATCAAGGTTGAGACATCTGCAGAGAGATGCGTTTCTACACTTCTTGATCTTATTCAAACTAAGGTTAGTAGCAGTAGTATTTTGTCATTTAATCACATTTCTTAAAAAAAAAAACTGCCCTATATCATAGTTACCTGATAGATAAGAATTTTTCCTTGGACTAATTATCTAATGCTTATCATTATTCTTCTTTGAGGTTAATCTGTAGTTGCCAACCCAATCAAAGGAGAGTTCTGAGAGCAATGCAATAAAATTCATAGCATTGCATATTGTATGAGTTAAGTCCAAAGATAATGTTTCATAACATTGGGATTTTTACAATCAAAATATTTCCTTATTTTCAGGTGAATTATGTGGTTCAGGAGGCCATTGTGGTGATCAAGGATATTTTCCGCAAATATCCCAACAAATACGAAAGTATCATTTCTACCCTCTGTGAAAATCTTGATACCCTTGACGAACCTGAAGCCAGGTAATTTTTAAGATACTGTAGTTGTCAATTCCATACCTGTACTTTATGCCTCTGCCATGTCATGCATGTGCTGCTTCTACATCAGTGTGCTTGCATTATTGTCTTTAATGTCTTTTTAAAAAACAACCATTGTGTATTTACCCATTATCCACACGACTTTGTAATGGTCCAGAACAGACAGAAACGTCGTCGTTTCTTCATCCTCTGATGTGTCGTTTGGTCATCATACCCATTATCCATTCAAAATAATTGTTACAAATCTAATGCCAGTGTTTCATTTGAGATGTTTGATATTTTGAATTCCTAAGCTATCCATCCAAATAAGTATACTGCTCACTTGTGTCAATAGAATTTTCTCGATTTCTTTTCATAATTAGTCTTCCTGGTCTTATCAGTTTCAATATTATTATAAAGGTCAAAGAGATTGGGCTTGCTCATTAAAATATTACAAAATATATCCCAAGTTTGTTTATTTGTAATTAAAGCACCCAACACTCCTAGAGATGTCTTACTCTACTGTCTTGACTTCTGTTTTCTATTATATGTTCAACGCTTGATGTTTATTCCTCACTCAACCGCTACCTGTATTAGAAACCTTGAGATAAACATTACCTGGGGTTTGAGCTGACATATTGAAAGTTTTGTGTCTTGTGATGATTCCAAGGATGTCTTGAATATAGGGGTGGGGGGGTGAGTCCTTGCAAAACACATCCATTCCAGGGGTGCACTTTTCCCGTGGGACATGTGCAGCTTGGGTGTGCAGAATTGCTCTCTCATGGTGCAAAGTGCTCTGAACTTTTTCACATTTTAAACCAGAATAAAAAAAAGAAATGATTTAGTTCAGACTTTTGCAAACCAAGAAAATGGTATGATTTCAAAGGTAATATTTCAATAGTTACAAAATAATGATTATTACAAGGAATGTCTTGCATGCTCAATTTACTCATGGTTTCAGTTTTCTCTGACTAATCAAGAAGTTTGGTTATTACACTACTCGGTGATAAAAGCTAAGATGCTGCTATTTAGTAAGGAATATTTATAAAAATAATTTACACCAAATACCATAAATATTTTACAGGGCATCAATGATTTGGATCATTGGAGAATATGCTGAACGTATTGACAATGCAGACGAGCTTCTTGAGAGCTTTTTGGAAGGTTTCCATGATGAAAATACACAGGTGCAGCTACAGCTTCTCACTGCAATTGTGAAGCTCTTCCTCAAACGTCCCACCGACACACAGGAATTAGTTCAGCAGGTAGGCATGTTCGTTTTTGTAACCTAGGTTATTCATAATTTAATAAATGGGGTTTTGTTTGTAACAATGCCTGTGTGAAGTGCTGATATATATATTTTACCCAAGGCTAATCATCCAATACAAGGAAAGTGGCTGTACCATTTCAATGATACTAATATGGAAAGCAAAAATAAGTGAAAATGGGTAACCATTTACCAAATAAAGCTGTCAAAAGGCCTAATATGGAACAGATCATAACGTGGTGGTAGTGTGTGTTGCAGACTATTGTGAGAGGGATAATTGTTTTTCATGACTTAAGGTCTGCCTGTGTGATTGGTTAGCAAGAGTTCTGTTGATTATACTGTACTTCAAATATTAGATGTTGAGATTGACTTTTAAACAAAATTCTAGGTGTTGAGTTTGGCAACACAGGACTCCGACAACCCTGATCTGCGAGACCGAGGCTTCATATACTGGAGGCTACTATCCACAGATCCCGGCGCTGCTAAAGAAGTAAGCAGGGATTTTAGGCAAATTTTGTGGAATGTGTGGTTAGGATGTCTTCATTAAATTTAAAATGCCTTGTAATGCTGTGTTAATGATATATGTTTTAGAGTTTTCACACACTCGCTGGTTCCATTTTCTGCAACCTTTTTAATGTAGCAAAATTGCAGTATTTTATTTTTGGAACTTGTTTTCTACACAAGGTTTTTAGAACCCTTCCTAACTTTTTGGTTTATACCACTTTCTTCATAAAATGACTCGATATCTCTTATCTTTTTATTTTCTTAATTACATTGGTACCTCCACTTACGAATTTAATCTGTTCCCAGAGATGGGTCGTATCATGAAAATTCGTAACGTGAAATGAATTTTCCCATAAATAATATAAATTGAGTAATCTGTTCCACACCCCCAAAAATATTAATTTAAAAATACTTTTTATACTGAATACCACTCTTTTGTACTAGCTACAATACAGTATGTACATCTTACCTTTATTGAGGACTCTTGTTAGCGTATGGAAGATGGTGAGGAGGAAAGGTGTTACTGTTTGGGAGTCCCCTTCCATTATAACATCGGGCAGTGATGACTTCTGTGGGGTACTCTCTCTCCTACGTTTTGCAGGCATACCACTAGGACCTGGTTGTGGCTCACTGCTTGCGTGTCTTACTAAGAAACTGTCTAAAGACTTGTTTTTTCCCCTAAATTTTAACACTTGATTGTAGTGAGACATCACATTGTCATTTAAGAGGTCAATGCAATGGCCTGCTACAACTTTATCTGGGCTTGTTTTTTCAACAAAACTTTGCAATACATACCATACTTCACACATTTTCTTAATGAGGAAGGGACATTCTCTATTGCCTCTACTCACAACTATTTTCTTAGGTTGAACCTTACCACTGACTTTCTTGGGACCCATGGCATGATACTGTAATTACTTTTGTTCAAAAACAATGAAATACTTTACAAGTGCGATCGTCACTAAGCAGGTGGCTTTGGTAAACTGAGGTGGGGTAGAACTGAGGCCAACAGGAACCACGTGCTCAGTCAACCCATACATGTATCACCAAAGTCGCTAGTCGAGGCAAAGGTTGTAAGTCAAGTTGTGTTTTTGGAGTCGTAACTCAAAAAATTCGTAAGTAGAGGCAGCCGTAAGTCAAAGTACCACTATCTTATATCTAGTATATTGACATTGTATTAGAATTGTTTTGCTGATTTCCACCGAGAAATTAAATTGTTTGGAACATAAAGTACTTTACCAGTGTACAGTACTGCCAATTTATTATGAGGCCAATTTAATTGGAACGTAAGGTCAAATTATTATGATGGAGGAGGGGACTATGGAAAGCATGAGCTACCTTACCTTGCGATGATTTTGAGGCTCCAACCAGGCCTCCTGGGTAGGCAAACATTGGGTAAAAGTAAATTTTTTTGCTGTTGAGATTTAGGTCAGGTAATGGCTGTTTAGGTTATCCAGTCTCTCTCTCTCTCTGTCCAGGTCCCCTTGGAAGATAGTTATGAAAATGTCAATTTAGGAGCGAGAAAGTTGTGGGCTGCCATACTGTGTTTTGAGTAATGAAGTGAGACAACCATTGCCAAGATAATATCTTCTCTTGCATAGTGCTTCTTTATGCAGCTCATTGCTACCAGTGTATTACATACTTTATTAATTAAATCTAAAACAAATATTCCCATACATGACTGCATTTCATCATTCTGGAGAAAGCCAATTATGTGAAATAAAATAGGTAAAATGAAATTGACCTTTAATTTTAATATTCTCACAGTAAAGAAATGTGCATTTGTTAAGATTTAAAAAAAATAATCTACATACTGTACTTTATAACTGAAAGCTCTTGTCATTAATAAGTCTAGATATTAAGTTAAACATACAGTTGGTTTCCCATTGTCAGTTACAGGAAGTCATCTTAGATCATCGAGGGTTTCCGTGAGAACTACAACTGACTTTCCCTAGAATGCAACCCACAACATTTAACTAATTCCTGGGTGCCTATTTATTGCTAAGTAAACTGAGAAACAAAGTGTAAAGAAAATTTGCCTAAGTGTCCTGCCCTGCCCAGGAATCAAATGAGGGAACGTTGAGTTGTGATCTGACTGCAGTGACCACTGTGCTTCAGGTTATATTGATAAGCCAATGCCTTTCAGGTTGTCCTCGCAGAGAAGCCACTCATTGCTGAAGAAACTGATCTGATTGAACCCACACTCTTAGATGAGCTGATCTGCCACATTGCTTCTCTTGCATCAGTCTATCACAAACCTCCGTCTGCCTTTGTGGAAGGACGTACTGGTCTTCGTAGGGCACTTCCTAAGGTATGCTTTTAGTAACTACCAGTGCTAAATTTGGGCTTGCTGTATTGTTGTACTAAAAGTGCCTTGTTTTTCAATGCAATATAACATTAAATATTGTAATAAAAATATTAAATGTTGTCCCCTAAAGTATACCATAACTTCATATGTTGCCAAAGTCAACATTCTCTATACAAAGTTCATCTGTATATGAGCCCCAGAAATGCTTCTAGCTTCATCTCTTGTAATAGACTTTTTTGTTTTTAAAAAGTATATCGATTTGAAACTTCTTTACCCATTCACTTGATTAGTCATCTGGTGGAAGTGACAATGACTCGGCTGGTGATCAGCCGCAGCAGCAGCAACCACAGCAGACTGTTATCCCGAACCAGGATTCCCTTATTCCAGACCTTCTCAATATGGACATCAATGCTCCCCCTGTTGTACCAGCAGTGCAGTCAGGTAACTGACAAAATGTAAAATTGGCCAAATATTTTCTTGGGTGATGCCAGTTGACACTTGATCAGTCATTTGCAAGGCTTAACATGCACTGTACCTGGTAATTCTTAATGATATAAATGGTGAAATATAATTTAGCTTACCTGTTGATTTCCATTATAATGTGATTAACTGAGCATTCCTTGTAATAATAAAACACAGCTCACTGTGTTTTAATAAGTATGGCCATAGCCATCATGGTTTTTAAATCAATATTGTTTAGAACAAGTGCATTAATTGCCCTATTTGTAAAGTTGGTCTCATAGTTCAAATCATGATACAATATAATTACAGTACTCTAACTCGGAGAATAATTTTGAAGTTTTTTGCCTGTAAAATTTTCTCATGGAAGTCAGCATTATACTTATGTGAGTGACACTATTGTGCATTAGTATATATATTAGGTCAATAGTTTGTAGTATCTTTGTTCCTCTGGTAGCTTTCTCTGGTGGTACCTTGGACCTCCTGGGCGGAGGTCTTGACTCCTTGTTGGGAGGAGCAGCAGCCGAGGTAGGAAGTGCTCCAGCCCCTCCAGTAGCTGCTACATCAACTGCAGGTATAATATTTGATGCAATAGTGTGCATATTTTCCTCAAAAATTATTTTGCTAGTCATTTGTATTTAGTATTGAGGTTTTCAGATACAATGCACCTCTTACTGACACACGTAGGTTATAAGTTGTCAGTTTTGTATTACCTGTATATCTTATAGCTGTAAGATTAAATTCAAAAGGCCCTCTTTTGAGTGACTACCTATCTTGTGATGATTCCTGGGGTCGCTGTCCACATGGCCCAGTCTGTCTCCAGGCCTCCAGATTATCACAAACACTCAGTACCTCATTATATGTAAGCTCTAATTTTAATGCTGCTCCAATTAAATATTTAATAAGATAACTTCTGCCCTTTGTCCAAGTAACTGTTTGTAATAAAATATTTACACTCCTCATAGTATGCTTATAACTCAAAATTCTTGTGTTATATGTAATAGTCGCATATTTTATTTATATGCATATTTCTTCTTTCCATGTAATGCTATTGATAAGGTGACACAGGTATTGAGGGGGTTTGCTGTAAATGTATTGCATGTGAAGGATTTGTTTGAATGCAAATTTATTTTGTTTTAAAACTTGGATTTTTTTTTTAAACAAGACTTACACTTTATACATTTAAAGTTCTGTTTTATGAATTAGTATTAGATTTACTCGGTCCAGTTTTAAGAAAAGGAAGTGAATTACATTATCTATTAAGCTGCTTAACAATTGTTTGTTTTGGATAACTTTTAATAATAGCATGCCTGTATAATATTAAATTTGTTAATATAAGAAGGCACTTTTAAGATAACATACTTTAATATGTACCATTTAGATGTTTTATATATATTTTAATTTTTGCATCTGTGGCCAGGCCTTCTAGGGGACATCTTTGGTATTGCATCCTCGTCTGCACCAGTTTACTCTGCGCCTAAGCAAATATGGCTGCCAGCAAATCGTGGAAAAGGAATGGAGATTGCAGGCACATTTTCCCGCAGGTAGATACTGTATTTTATTGTGTAAATTTTGCAATTTTTGTGCTCAAATGGTTTGAGGTTCTTCATATCTTAATGGAAAGAGTTGTGGAATGAATATTAATTAATAGTAAACTCAAAAGTTTCCTCAATTTGCTATTTGTCCAAAATTTGAGAATCAAAGCAGTTTAAATTTGTTTAAATTGTGATGTGAGAATTTATCACAATTTAAATATCATTTGTTATTTAACTGTGATAAATCTCCATGTTATTTAAATAAATCTATTCATTGCAGTGAGGGATTGATTGCAACTAAAGATGCCTCCAGGATGTATTTCCCATGCCCTATGGGCTAATTTCACTTAGCAAAATTTTCATTGCAATTTATAATGTAATAGACAATGGCCAAATGTATGTCTGCAAAAACATTTAACATCCAGTGAATTTTTCACGTCCCCAGCATCAAAACTAATTTTCAAAAGGTATCGGGACCATACCTAAATGAACAAAAACGTTGACCAATTCAAAATGAAAAATGTAGAATTTGGTTTTAAATATCCTCGATAGCTATTCCAAGGCTCCAACTGTTTCTTGTAATGTTGAGTCTATTTACAAAAATCATAAAAAATATTCCAAAAAGCCCAATAAAAAAATTAAAAAATGGTGAATAAAAAAGTTCCAAAATGCCCAAAAGAAAAAAAAATCCAAAATCCTCGACAAAAATATCCTTGCAGGGAAAGTGTGCATGTTCCAACAGGAGTGTCACCAAATCAAGGTTCAACTGTAGTGGTGGAACCTTGCAGTAAGGTGTACATTTCTCAGCTCATTAAAACTTTGTGAAGATTAGTGAACCATATGTGTGGACTCATAATCTTTACAAATGTGCCCCCATTCAAGGCATGTCCTGGGCATTGCCGATCTTCAGAATACACCCACACCTGTAATTGGTTAAACATTATTTCTTTTACCATTTCTTACCATAAATTATGGAACATATTTGTTTGTTTTCACACAGGAATAATATAGGTTAACAAAAAAAACTCATAATATCCATGAGTTTTTAATCTAAAAATATAAAATATAATGATTTAGATAAGCTTTATTCTTGTAGCCCACTTGCAGCAAAATATGGATACAGTTCAGTATTGAGAGGATGTTGCTGGAACCTTGATGAACTAAACAAGCTTCCTCTCCCCAACAGTGGGAAAGCCATTTAAGATTTAAATCCCTTTATGCACTGTACAGGACTTTAGCAAATATAACATTTATATGAAAAATGTCTTAGGAGAGGTATATAATTAATACTTAACCATAAAATATTTGAAATTAAAATGCCAATATTGACTGGCAGATAATTCTGACCTTTCACTTTAGTTTGTCTTTTGGCTTGTTGAGAGACCTGTTCATGAAAGAATGGCATTCTCCAAGGTCCTACATCTGAGTCTCTACTTATCGACTTTAAAAGTGGAGATTTGACCAAATATTTATAATTTTCATGCTCATTACTATATTGACATTACTATTTCTAATATTCCTCGTGTAATATTGGTCACCCTCGAGTATGGAATTAAATGACCTCTTTGTCTTGCACAACACTTCTTAACCACTGTGATGCGGCGAGTTTGTGACATTCCCTGTGCGCATGAAATCAAGTGTTCCCCAAAAATTCTTTTTTATTTGTAAAATGATAAATTCCCTTTCCTGAACATGTTTATGTAAAAATAAATACCAAATTCCACTTACTTTGGCTGTAGGGACGTAGTCAAGGTGCACTGTGGCGTTATCAGGGGCTGGTTGCCCGTGTATGAAGCTCCCAAACACGGTCGCGCGGGCCATTCAAGCAACGCGTGTTGCCACAAATATATTTTCACTTGTTTGTTCTATGTATTTCCAATTTGTGTCCTTTACAATTTGTATACAGTAGAACGTTCATAATGTTCCACGGAACTGTGATTCATGTGTCAGTAATGGCTACAATAAATGTTTATTGTCGCAATATTTGTTAAAAATTCACTAAAATTACAATATGTACATTTTCACACACTATTTACACAGTAACACACTGTATTACACACTCAGTACTTCGGAAGTGAGTGATAATCAACGAAGTAGTCCATGGTACACAGCTCGACTATTCTCTCATTGCACCAGGTACAAATAGATTTTCGCTTACTGTTTCTTCGTTCTGTGTGCTTATAAATAACAAATTCACGTACACCTTTGGCTTAAGTACTTGTAGTTGGTATGTAGCCAAGCTTGTATAGTATAAGGTAGTATTGAAAAGATTATAGGAAAAGATCAATTTGTAAGGTAGTCTTGAAAAGATCGCTTTGTAAGGTCCCACACAGGAAGAGATTCAGCTACCCTCAAAGAGTGTGTCAATCTGGAAGAGATTCAGCCAGCCTCAAAGAGTCAGTCAGTCAGTCAGTCTGGAAGAGATTCAGCTATTGAAAATATTTATGGAAAACACCACCATGGAAGCCACTAACACTGTTCATCTATGGTACTTGTATCAGATATATCATCACTGAACACAGAAAACGATTCATCTATGTATCATCTATATAAATTGGAAATTTATAGCATAGGTGGGCAAGGGTGGCACTCAGAGCTACAACTGGATACGCTCGCTGTATTGTCCTCATAGGTGCTGTATCACTTGCATCTGACCTTTGTGTTAGGTATTTATTGCGCCTAGCTTCACCAATATCATGACCCTTATGTTCTTCAAACAATAAGGTTTGAATTTCACCGATAGAGCGCGATCTTTCAACACCACGTCAGACAGATGTTTGGGAGCCAGAGGCGCATGTGTCGCCCGTGGTTGCTCACTCAGTACTAACCCAGCCAGCAGCCCTAGGGCATTCTGGGAATTTTTTCCAAAATGGCCGCCTCTTACTGGAGGTCCTAAGAGTCCATTTCGTACACAACCAACCGCGCACACATTTTGAATGGGTACGAAAAAATCAGAGTTTTCTTGGTTGGCGCAGTCCAGTGGTTAAAGTTGATATTCAGTCCTAGCTTGGATCATAGTAAATTTTAATGTGCATATCATCCTCCTCCACCATTCCAACATGCCCAGCAGTTTCATTGTTTGTTAACATTATACCTAGCAAATTCTTTGCTCATTGAAGCTCTTCATTGAACAAAATGTTGTTTGATGAAGGCTTATCTTTACTGATATTCATTTCCTGACTTGTGGGCAACTCTGAAAAATAATTTACATTAAAGTACTGTAGTTTATTAACTTTGTGTTGAAATAAGTGTGTGAAAATATCAATAATACTGCAGTCCACATACAATTTTTCTATTTTCTAAAACCTTTCTATTTCTCTCATGTCAGCTTACCAGATAGTAAACTTACTAAACAGCAGCAATTTTACATGTGCTCTATTTAGAGATTGTTTTCTGTTATGGAAGTTGCAGAGCAAGGCATTTTTCTTTGAGGCAGGAACGTCCTGGGATGGTGGAGTAGATTTCTTGAAAGTAGCATCCTGGTGTATGGTGGATAATGCCCTCGCTTGCTTGCTTCATAACTAAGAATAATCTGTGTTCAAATCCTAGGCAGAGGGTGAGACGATTGGGAACCATTCTTTCAATATCTACCCCTGTACTCGGGTTGTAAACTGCTTGGGGAACTGTGTTCTGAGGAAAACATCGTGAATTATAACCTAACCAGTTTCAGTACCGTTACAAAATTCAACATCTCTTATTTTTCAGAAATGGCATAATTTCAATGGATTTGACTTTGCACAATAAGGCTATGCAACCCATAACAGGATTTGCCATTCAGCTCAATAAGAATAGTTTTGGTATTACACCAGCTGCACCACTCAATGTTCCTGCTCCTCTAGCTCCTAATCAGTCAATAGATGTGAGCCTTACTCTCAGTACTAGCGGTCCTGTCCAGCGCATGGATCCTCTCACAAATTTGCAGGTAGGAGCCAGTCCACATCATTGCAAGTTTGTGTTGCATAATATTACTTTTAAAATTCATTTTTGTTTTTGGAATCCCTATATATTTCACTATTTTTATTTAATAATTTTGTTTGAAAATAATGTTTAAATACATTAAATAATTAAATGGTAATTTTGTAATAGTGTTTATGATTCCTTGTAAAAGAAAGTGAATTGTCTTTGGTGACAGGTAGCCATAAAGAACAGTGTGGATGTGTTCTACTTTGCAACAGTTATGCCCATGCATGTATTCTTCTGTGAAGATGGGGCAATGGACAAGCGTGTGTTCCTCTCCACGTGGAAAGACATTCCAAGTCAAAATGAAGTTCAGTTTAATATTGAAAACATTAACATGAATGCTGGTAAGTAGATTTTCTTTTCTATGTAGTGTATTCTTCCACTGTAATTGTTATAATTTAGAAGTCATGTCAGGAGTTTGGAAATTCCTTTTATTGAATATACACTGATATCTAAGTAGATTTGTGATTGCCCTAATTTCATTCTTACTATTATATATTGACCAGGTTTACTTATCTCCATAATAAAATACTGGATGTCTAAAGATATTAAATAGTTTTATTTCTATGCTATAAGATAGTAGCTTTTAAACTTTGGCAATTCTATTAAATTTCCATTTACCTTTTTCACCAATTGGAAAAATAGTTCAGTATAGTATTAAGTTTTTCATAATATAGTTACAAAGATAATAAACAGGAGTGGGTAAATTCTTAAAATTGTATTAATGTTACATAATAAAGAACAATTTTCTCCAAGAATTTCCCTGTTTTAAAAACTTGATTGATGTGTGCCTTGTTCAGTAACTTACAGCGGTGTGTATCTCATCCACAGATGGCTTATCAACTACGGGTAAATATAGTTCCTTGTATCACGGATTATTACCATTATTATTCAGATTTTAATATTACTTCCTTTATATATATTACAACATGCAGTAAATAGGTTTAATTTTAGTTTCCTAAATTTATACAAAGCATGATCCTTTTAAATATTTGTTTCTGAAAGGTACTTTATGTAGGAACAATATTTACCCAGTATTCTACAAGCTAATGAGCACTAAAATTACTGCATTAATTATGTTAGTATTTTGGATAATTTTTAGGATTAAATTTATACTGTGCATTGATCATGCAACTCGAATGGAATTTTTGTTTAAGGTTAGCAGCTATGAGGACCCCAGGAGTTAGTTACCTGGGACCAACTGCAGAAAAGTTTGCAAGAGATAGTTGCTGAGAGAGCCAAAATTTGGTTAGGCTAGCTATATATCCTTGCAGAGAGGGAGAGATGGTTTGGGGGGGGGGGAGCTGTAATGGGATAGGTTAGGTCTCTTCAGAGATATACACTGTGCTTTATTTTGTTGGGTATTTTTATTCTTTCACATGTTCACTTGGGTAGTAACAAATTAAAATAAATTAGGGAGTAGAATGAACAGCACTTGAAATGGAAGCTAGTGCTAGTTTGAGCAGCTGATTCTGTTGGCGAAGCTTTCGTCTCATTCCTTGTTTCTTGCTTGGAAGCACAGATCATTGTGACCTAGTTGCATGTTTCCTGTATGTGTGTGGGGGTTTGTCTGCTTTCCTGGCTGGTTAGAGTCCCCCAGCCAGTCTCCGTGTAAGTTAGCCAGGGTTCCGGTTCTCCCGGCTCCCAGGGCTAGGGGGGGTTTTGGTGAACTGGCAGATATCCCCGTTGGTTTCGTCCTAAGTTCAGACTTGGCTAGACCTCATTTTGGACTCTGTTGGTTTCTCTGTTCCTGACTCCAGCAGCTTTGCTCTGCCTGTAGCTTTGTTGGTGTCTGGTGTCGGATCGGCCATGGGTAACTCGCCGGTTGGTTGAGCAGTTATACAGAAGCCAGAACTTTACCTGCATAGTATTTCCTCTGATAGGGTTTTGCTTCAGGCATTTTATCGCTTTCTCTGTTTCTGCCCATTTCTACTCCTTCAACTGGGGGTGGGTGGGGGTTCAGGTCCTGCCCACCCATGCTCGATGTGTTCATGGACACCTTAAATTTGGGTTGGGACTTCATGATTAGTACTTACCAGGTCACCCAAGGTTAGTGGTTGGGCCCGTTCCTTTGGGTGCATAGCTCTATGCGTGAGTTTTCAGCTGTGTGGCATGCCCCAAGGAGGATTTGGCTTCCTTTAGGCTCCATGCTTCGGCTCCACTCTAACTGCTCCCTGGTAGTTCATTGCCTGATACATAATTGCTTCAGGCCATCACTTTATGGAGTTGGATGATACAAGTAGATCAGCTTTTAGATTCTCAGTTTGGTTTTCCGTGGGTTTGCATGTAATGTTTCCAATGTTATTGTAGATAGGTTGTCTTTCTTCCAGCCCATTTGTACAGTGTGTCCTGTCAATCACTCGTTCTTCTGTTGGCTCTGTAAGACATTGTTGTCCTGAGGCGGACCTCTCCATGTTGGCATTGTTCCAGCACCACCTCTTCTATGTGGCTCTGTTCTCTGATCACAAGGCTCTTGCAGTTCATGCCTTTTGACTGGGCTGGTTAAGGTGGAAGTGCATGTATCTTTTCCTCCCTCTTCCATTGCTGCTCAGGGTGGTGTTTTGTCTAGGGTCATACTCGGGGAAGGTAATTCCTCTGGCTCCTTGGTAGCCAACATAGTCGTGGGTTCTGGTGCTTCTGGCGCTTCTGGCCCAGTGTCTGAACCTGGATGCTTTTCTGCAGCTTCGCCTCTTTCAGCAGATTAGCCTGGTGATGCACTTCACTGGTTCAGACTTCTTTGCTGTCCACGTCTGGGGTTTTTGATGAGTATCACCATTTGTATGGTGAGCAGGTGGTTTGTTCGTGTTCCACCCGAGTCTTAACAATGGGAGCAAGAGGCTACCTGGTGCTTGTTTTGCCACTACCTGTCTCTTTGTCGCCTTTCTTCGATTTCAGTCAAGGCTGTCCTGTCCCCTCTTTTTTTTTTTTTTTTTTTTTTTTTTTTTTTTTTTTTTTTTTTTTTTTTTTTTTTTTTTTTTTTTTTTTTTTTTTTTTTTTTTTTTTTTGCATTTCCCAATCATAGCATGCCTAATACTGTACCAGCACCTCTTATCGTTCAGCAGTGGCAGAGCCATTGTTGCTTGTGTTTGGTGTCAACACCACCCCAACACCATTCCACAAGTTCATACATTTTTCACCTGTCTTGCTCATGCTCCTCCTGAGCTGCCATGTGTCTCTTGTCTAGATTTTGGTTTTTCTCTCACCTCTGTTTCCCTTTTTCAGCTCATGATATCTTTTCTGAAACTGTTGTTGTTGGCTCTTGCCTCTGGCTGTAGGGTTGGGAGTTTCAGGCTCTTCTCTGGAGGCTCTGTTTTGTACTTTTGGCCCTGGTGGGTGATTTGTTAATTTACAGCCTTCTTGGTGAAGAATGAGTCGGCAGGCTACGGTTCTACAGCAGGCAGAAGTCGTGTCTGTAGGTGATTGATGCTTGGTTTCTTCAGCCACTTCACTGGTTTTGCCTCTGCGGATGCCTTGTTGATTGGTCATTTTTTTTGTTTTCCTGTTCCTGGGCATACATTTCCTGTTATCCACACTCATCAAATCTAGCCAGCCTGCAGTCTACCTACTGACCTTGGTGTTCGAAAATTGTGGCTTTGGTCATGGTCTTTTCCAACAAGTCCTGGGTTGATATTCTGGCTTTAAGGTTTTGACATTCTAACTGGGTACTTACGGCCCAATATTTAGTCAATATTCTTGGTCCCAATTGGTCGTGTGATGCTTTGGGCCATGTCACCATGCATTTATATTCTGTCCTAGAGCTTGCTGCCTCTCCTTCCTGGTAAGTCCCATTTTTGTTCTATGTGGTTAATTTCAGGGAGCTCTGATGGGTTCCTGATTCTCTTCCCTCCCTCCCGGGTTTGTCAGTTGTTGTTGGGTTGTTCATCGGCTCCAGACCTGGCTGGTCCAGGGGAGCCAGATGTGGGCTGGGATTGGGCTGTCTGGTGGTGGAAATAGATACTAAAAGAGTTTTAAGCTAGTTTGAGTGAATCCCTTATTCTGTGCAAGTAGTTTGCAGAATTGTTTACCAATTTTAAGGCTTCATTTTCTCCAGTTGTCTGTAATGCATCTGAATTTCTGGGGGCTTTTTCTGGTGGGGTGATGAATTGTCACCTGCTCCTTGAGCTTTCGTGAGGAGGCTAAGTTCTTGCTCTGGTCCCCAGTAGGCCAGAAAGAACTTTCACAACTGATGTAACCTTTTAGTAGGCAGCCACTGAGGCTCCTCCAGAATGAGGTAGTTCATTACACACACTGCTGTTTTTTCTTGCACACTACAGGTTCTTATAAAATAGGTGCACAGTGCAGGGCTTAACATGGTCAAGTGTAACTTTAAGACAACACAGGTTTTAGTCAATGTTCATATGTTTGTTATATTGAATGTTATGCGTATTGCAATATTTGAAGTTGACTTTCATCAGTACAATGTTCAAAATACGTGTGCTTACTGTAACTTGCATATTCTCTAGCCTTTGTGAAGATTAACTAAATACTATTCCTTTTTATGAATTGTTTGCTAACTTTGTTATCGTCAACAAACTCAAATGAAAGCAGAAGTACAGAACCACAGGCATGTTATTTACCTGTTGCTACTAATTATTGATGATTAAAATTTTATAGTAATATGTATATTGCTTTCAAGTTCCAACTTTATTACTTAAAAATACTTTTCATTTAGGAAAGGTACCAAAATACATGTATTAGTGTAATTGATACCCTTTCAGGTGGGTATAGTGTTAAGATTTTTCAATCGTAATTTTTTTTAAATTGGTTTTAAATCATTTCCATGTGTAAATGGTAATTGCAGTGTCTTTAAACTTTGGTCTTCATTTAAAAGAAAATAATTCTATGGGGGCTTAAAATGTGCTTTTTGTAATGTCAAATGTGTTGAGGTGGTTGTTAGCTAGTATGAACATGGTTAGCGGTCTCTATTATTATTACTCATGATTTGTATTAGTTGTTTTACAAAAAAACAGCCTGTAAATTGTATTATTTAATTTACAGATGGAATCTCTAACAAGCTGCAGAGTTCCAATATTTTCACAATTGCAAAGCGCAATGTGGAAGGTCAGGACATGCTGTACCAATCAATCAAGCTGACCAATGGAATCTGGGTTCTTACAGAACTTAAAGTGCAGCCTGGCAACACTACTATTGTGGTATGTAACTAATTTCCAGTATTGAGATGATCTGATGAGTTCTTCCATTAGAAGTTGTTTTTAATTAAATGTCTAATCAAAATTTGAGACAATGCATATAGATTGAAGGATTAAAATAAAAGAGAACTTAACATGTTTGTATTTAGTTTTGTGTTGACGTAATGAAGTACATATAGAGAATGTGCACGTGGCATAACACTTTGTTGAGACAATCATGCTGGCAGTCAGTTCATGCCAACTTGTAAGAGAAAATCTAGATCCAAGCGAATCCTGATGTTGCGTGTGTGATACTTACCGAGCCGTGAAATGTCACAATGAATGCAATGGGTCATTCACTTTTTCACTTTGCTTGATTTCATCCCAAAATATGGAGGTGGGGATTGTTTGAAGTTGACATGCAATTAACAATCGAGCTCTACTCAACGTATACTGAAATTAACCCTTTTGATGCAATATTTCCAAAATCTCTGCTTCCCAAGGATTGAACATTAAAAATTTTAACGAAGATATAAATGTTTTGTATAATTGTAGAGAAAAACACTTTATATACATAAATTTAAATGCAAAATTTATCTCAAAGTTGTTTTTGAAATAGGGAATCTCCAAAATGGCAGGAATTCTCTATGAAGCTCAGTTTTTTTCAAATTATTTTATTCAGTCGCAAAAATAACACATTAACAATTTATTTGATAGTTTCGTATATAATGAGACTCAAAGTGCATCGAGCCACTTTCTCAAAGACGTTATAGAAACACTTGATTAGTCAGCATTCTTAGCCAGTGAAATTTTACTACAGCATATATGATGAAGATGAAGCCAATTCTATTTGAGTTTAACAAAGCTAGTTTAGGTGGGAAAACAACAGTACAGGTATACTAATTGTATGAACTAGTGTCTCTTGGACATGAGTTATTCTTCCTCTGTGAAAGGATTAAGTGTGATTAGCCATAATGTCAAAATTAATGGGTACCATAGTTATATTTTGCATATAAATTTTATATGCCCTGTTTCAGCATTTCACTTGCTGAAATGGTTTCAATTTACTAATCTTTATAATCCACGGTTAATCTTCTATCCTTGAGTAAACAGCTATTAAGCAAAATTTTTCCCACGCATTTCAAATACAGTACATCATATTTATATTAAAAATTCCTGAAACCTTTTTCAAAGAAAACCCATGTGCTGATCTGGCTGTCACAAATAAACATTTGTCATAGCATACACTTGGAAATGTACTTAACCTTAGCCAGTACATAAAATAAAAGCACAAGAAAAAGTTCTGAGAAGATGGGAAGACATACGTTACGAGCGAAGACTCGGTATCAGATTGATCTCTACCTTTCAGTTAGTTACCCCATCAGTTTCACACACAGAAAATATTGCAAACCTGTGTGATATAAAATATTGGGGTACTGTATTTGTAAGCAAAGCATTACACAGTTACAGCCATAGGTTGTCAGTTCGTAAGCCAAACTTACTGCTTCAGCATTCTGTTACCCACACAATGTCCCTGATCCAAGATATACATGTATATTTCTTACATAATCAATCTTATTTATCTGGAGGCCAAAAAAAGGGGGCTCTTTTTAATTCAACAGCATAAATACTGTGACCCTCTTCTTATCACTGCCATTGGCTAAATTGTGGGTAGTAGCATTACTGAATACATGCACATGTTACAGTTAAGAATTAAACTCAACAGTAATTGGCTTTGCTAGTTATTGAAGCTTTTGGAAAGGCTGGGTAATTCAGTGGTCATTAGCATGATATTAAACTTGATTGGCATTTAAGTTACAGCATCCCTATGTTTGAAATGCAAGGTATTTGCCTAGTAAGAGTATATGGCCTCCTCTCCTCCCTTATTACATCTTTCCTCCTTTTTCCCATTCCTTATTCTCTTCCCCTTTTCCCCTCCAATTCACCCACTTTATCCCTCTTGTTTTTTCCTTACCCTCATCCCATTTTTTATCCTTTTTCATCTCTTGTCCTGCTCATCCACTGTCTGCCTATACCCTTTTTCCCCCTCTCCTCATACCCCCTCCCTAACACTTGGCTCCCTCTCTTCCCCACCATTTTTCCTCTATCATTCACTCCACCACTAGTTTCTGATCTCTCCTCCCTCATTTTTTTTCCTTCCTCCTCCCTCTGGCCTTGCCTTTGTTTTCCTCCTTTGCTTGGCTTGCTACATGCCTTTGCCCTGTGTCTGCTTTAACACGCATTTTACATACTATAATGTATACTACCAGTTAACATTTTTACATGTCATGGCAATAATTTTGTTTAGTTAGGTTTTGCAAGTGTCATTGCATAATTAAGTACAATACATGATCACAAGCAAGATAAATTATTTATCAAAATAAAAGTTGTAATATATATATCAGAAGAAAATGTGATCTTGATACATATCTTGTTTGACATTAGCCCTTAACTAACCTAACTTAGCTAAGTTAGAAGATAAAATCTTAGATGGTTAGGTGTGTTAGACCAACTTACCAAGTCCTACCTAACTCAACATATCCAACAGTCCCAAGTATTTAATCTAGTGAGGTTGGGGTAAGGAAAGGTCGAATGTCAAATCAGAAGTTGCTTTGCTAAATGTGAGATTTGACCACATATGAGTTGCTAGCACACCTGTTAAAGTGTTTATCCCACTAATAAGGACCTAAAGCTTTCAGATTTTGTGGTGTTTTCAGAGAAGGTCTGTTGGTAAATTAGGTATAAACACCTAGCGACTTTAAACGGGAAGATCGATGATGAAATGGGGAAGAATTTGATTCTTGATATTAATTTGGAGAATCAAAATTTGCTATGTTTCATTTTCTATGTACTCAAAATGATATTGACCAGATGAAGTCTTAAGAATATCACAAGGCACTGGTTTTGGGTTATTTACGCTTATTATGCTGAAAATCTATATCACTTGTACAGCACGACTCCGTCAACTTGACTGCCAGCTTCAAATGTAAACAAAAAGCTAGTGCGTTTGATGACGTAAGTGCACACTCTCTGTTGGGTAAAAGTTCTTAAACTGATATTTGTGCTAAAAAAAAGTTCATATGCATTGCATACTTTAGATCCGATCATCAGTTTTGTAATATTCTTGATTTTGTTGATATTACTGTATTGTGTTAATGCTCTTCTCCCTCTTTACAGTAACATTTATGTTCAATTATTTGTTTTCTTCCAGTTATCTCTGAAGTCGAGGGCGACAGATGTAGCTCAAGGAATCTTTGAAGCATTTGATGGCATCCTTCATTTCTAGTGTTATGTATTGTATTCATTAGGCCATAAGCTTGTGTATAAAATATATATACTGTACTTATTTGATGCAAACATTGTATATGAAATTGATAAAGAAAATTATTTACTTTTCATAAAGTACAGGCCTTAATTGTTATCTTGTCCTTTGCTGATCATTTATATATATATATATATATATATATATATATATATATATATATATATATATATATATATATATATATATAATATTAATATAAAAATACTGAAAACTACACCCTCTCCACAAAATCAACTACCAGGTACGCCAAGGTGCATAGTGCTCCTGGCTCTCTGGGTTCAAATCCTTCTGGGGTATGAAGTTTTCAGTTGCATATTGGCTTGAGACCCATTCAAGCTTGTTCACATATACATATATCACTAAGAACTCTATTTGACCTGGCCAGGATTCAAACCCATGCTGTCCCTTAAATGTACACAGTACATTTAAGGGACAGCATATATATATATATAAGGGACAGGGATATATATATATATATATATATATATATATATATATATATATATATATATATATATATATATATATATATATATATATATATATATATATATATATATATATGATGTATATATATATATAATTATCCTTCTGGGGTAGATATACAAGGGCTGTATGAATGTGCAAGCCATTAATCACCAAGAACTCTCTTGACCAGACCAGGATGGGCCCCCTCCCTCTGGTGTACAGGGTGTACATCTCTGAGGGGAATGGGGGTGATCCTAGGCCAAAAAAAAGTTCTTAGTGATAGAATACACATATTAAACCACTGTGAATGGAAATATTTTTCATCTGAGCTTGATTTTGGGATTATTCCCTTCATTCATGAGGAAATAGATTAATCCTGGAAGCATGTTCAGATGATGTACCATTCTGTTCATTGTGGTTTAATTTGCATTTTTGAAGATCAGTGTTGTGATGTCGCAGTATGTACTGCCTACTTGTCAGTGAGTCATTCCATTTTATCCTGAAAATGATGTAATTCTATAGTATTAATGTAAAAATGTTATGATAGTATCCTATAATAAATATTTAAGTCTTCAAAGATTCCCTTACTCCAAATTTATATTTCATTAGTCCACTTAATTCTATACAGTAAGTAAAACGTTTGTACAGTATTTGTTACTAAGGTCATGGCTAATGGGGGGAGAAAGGGGGTGCTTATATTACCTATGACTGTTAATAATGTTGATAAAAATAAAATAAGCACACCCTGGTGTTGCCAGAAGCAAGCAGATTTTTATCAAAAGTTTTAAAAAGTTTCAATTTTTGTCATATTTTTGAAAATGTCCCCTTAACTCTCAGGTCCCTATTGATTGCTAGGTAAACAAAGGCATTAGGTGTGAGAACCCCCCCCCCCCCAAAAAAAAAAAGGCTAACTGCTGACCTGCAGGAAGCAACCCACAACAATTTAACTATTCGCAATCTTGCTCGCCTTATGACTACTGTCAAGTTTCTGGTCCCTCAGTGGTTGTCTTCTATTTACACACACTTCCAGCCCTGCTTTTGATATTTCTGCATACGCAGGAGATTCACAGATCTGTGGGGAAATTGCTATCATACTCTGGTTCTCCGGGTTGGTCGGTCTCTGCAATGGATTGCGTCTCATTGGAATTAATGGCAATGAGGTGTCAGACGTGCAGCAGGACTGGCATATTGTCTCCATTAAGTTACACAGGTGCCTCTGGACACAGGCGATGAGTCACAATAACGTGGCTAAAGTATGTTGACCAGACCACACACTAGAAAGTGAAGGGACGACGATGTTTCGGTCCGTCCTGGACCATTCTCAAGTAGATTGTGCCTCTGGACGTCACAGAAACTCCCAGATCCTGACAGGATGGGAGGTGGAGATGCCAGCAGCTTTTTGGTGCTCTTCTCGGGGTAGTCTCCGGCAGGGCAACAACCTGCTTCCATGGGTCCTTCACTGTTCATGTCTCTCTGGCACACCCTTCACTCGCCTTCAGATTGGGCACTCCTGCCTGGCGGCACATACCTGATTTACATGAGGGCCACAAACATAAGAACGAAGATAACTGCAGAAGGCCTATTGGCCCATACGAGGCAGCCCCTATTCATAACCACCCAATTCAACTCATATGCATGTCGAACAACACCTTCCCACTCAGACTTAAACCCCATTTATACTGTTTCCTTTGGTATAGCCATTCCCTAATCCAACTTAATATAGCACCCCCAATACCATGGGCCTCTGTATTCTTAATCAGTCTTTCATGTGGCACTGTATCAAAAGCTTTGCTAAAGTCAAGGTACACATCACAATCCTTACCACTATCAACTGCCTCAACCATGCTAGAATAAAAAGATAGCAAGCCTGTCAAACACGAACAGCCATTTGTAAAACCATGTTGCGACTCATTTACTAATCTATGTTTTTTCAAGATCGACGAATTGTATTTGCAATTATCGATTCAAGGAACTTTCCCACAGTAGATGTTAGGCTAATTGGCTGATAGTTTGATGCAAGTGATCTATGCCCTTTCTTAAAAATTGGTACCACATTAGCAACTTTCCATGACTCTGACTATTGATTTATTAAATATGGTAGACAGTAGCTCAAAGCTCCTCTTTGCATTCTTTAAGCACCCTGGCAAACACTTCATCTGGCCCTGGGGATTTGTTTGGTTTGAGTTTTACTACTTAATTACATCCTCCCTGGTAACTGCTAAGCTAGTCAACCTGTCCTCGTCCACACCCACATAGACTCGTTTGGCTGAAGGCATATCGTTAATTAACTCTTAGTAAATAGATATAAAATATTTATTAAAAATACTAATCTCTTCGTCATTATCCGTTATTTGACCAGTCTCGGCTTCCAACGGACCCATCCATTCCCCAGTGGCCTTGACAAAGACAGGAAGCCTGCAGCTTGTCAAAGGTTCCACCCCATTTGTTTCTTTTCCAGGCATATTTTGTAGCTTGGCATAGTTTTGGCAAAGGTGGATAGGCAATTCCATGGGTTAATAACCCTATGGGTGAAAAAGCATGTCCTGTTCAGTCCTACATTGTGGCTTGAGCTTAAAACCTTTGCCACTTGTTTGTGTTACATCTGACCTGAAGAAAATATCCGGATCAACATCGAATTTGTTCAGTATTTTTTTCAAACCAAGCCCGGTCATGCCTGGTTTGCAGTGTTAGCCCTGTGGCCATCAAACATTCCTGATGATATGAATTAGCTCTGGAATGACTTGTATTGCACCTTCTCCAGAGCAGCTATGTCCTGAAAATGAGGTCTCCATGCTTGGATGCAGTAATTAAGTGACCCAGGCACTTTGTATATACAAGGCACCAAAGATTTATACAGTTGAACCATTACCTTCTTTTCCTTATAGCCAAATGTATGCTCGGTTAGCTTTTCTGACTTGCTATTGTGCAAATTTTAATGAGTGGTGGATTTTGACCAAGGTCCTTTTCTTCATCAATCTGCTGTAATGTAATGCTATTAATTTGGTAGTCATAGCAAGGGTTATGCCTCACGTGCATGGCCTTGCATTTGTAGATATTAAAAAGCATTTGCCAGTCTTCGGACCATTTGTAGACTTCGTTTAGAACTCAGTTAGGCTTTAATATCATTTCCCACTTTACCATACATATTTGTCATCTGTATATTTGATAATGTGGTTTGTAATATTCTCATGTCATTGATGAATGACAAAAAGGATATGTCCCAAAATGAACCCTTGTTGCACACCTTATCACATTTCTCCATTTAGATTTGTTTCCATTTACACAACTTTTTTCTTTCCTTAAACCATTGTTTTATCCATTCTAATGTTTACCAGAATAGTTCCTTATACACATTTACATCGTCCATGGGCGCAGAAACACCTTGGATGAGGCAGGTGACTATTTTCTTTATTATGCATACCCATCCTGTGTAATCCTTGGTATAAGTAACAGTTCCAGATTATATTTACAGGCATCTTTCCATGTAATGTCACACAGGCAGTTAGGGTTTTGTAGTAAATGTGAAAGTATGTGAAAGACCTGTTGAATGCAAATTGATTCGTTAAAACTTGGATTTGTTTTTATTTTTACATTTTATATATTTAATAAGGATGCAATAAACACAGTTTGATTTTTTTTTCCATAACGTCCAGGTTTTTTATTTATTCAGTAGGAACAGGTGCTGGTTGTGCAGGGGCAGGAACAGCAGCAGCTGCAGGCTTCTCCATCTTGTTCTCTGAATGTGGTTCAGCTGGCATCAGCTCTTCCTTAGGTTCCACGATGTTGATGTGATCAGGAAGTGGAGTACGTGGTCCATTCTTGCCAGTTGGGTCCCATGGCAACATAATCTTCACCTTAATACCCAGCACACCTGTAACAAATTTAGTTATTAAATTACTACTCTAGGTCAAATTTAAAAAAAGCAACTATATTTTAATATGGACACCCAGTAATAGTTAATATATTTTTCTAGAATACAATAATGGCCTACAGACCAATTACTCCACAAAATACAGAACCTAGAAAAACACTTGGTTTTTTCCCCACTAGAATAAATTAAGAAACTCCGGTGGATATCTAATAATGTACACATGGAAAATACTGGAGGGTCAGGTCCCAAATCTACAGTAAAATAACATACTTGAGAACAATATGGAAGAAAATGCAGAATAGAACCAGTGAAGAGCAGGGGTGCCATAGGCACAATAGGAGGACATTGTATAAACATCAGAGGTCCACGGTTGTTCAACATCCTCCCCCCCCCCCCACCAAGAGTACTGCATAAGAAATATTGCCAGAACAACTGTGGACATCAAAAGAAAACAAGAGTTTTCTTCAAGTGCTGGACCAACCAGGCTGTGGTGGATATGTGGGCCACTCCAAGCACAAGCCTGTTGGACCAAGTTGGACCTCCCAAAGCCCCATCAAGCAGGTAGGCCATGGTGAAAGTCAGCCAATGGAGAAGACTTGCGAGAAAGACTGCAGGGTGAACATAACCTTTATTGAACTTTAGCAAGAATGACAAACAGGAATGCTATGCAGAAATATTGTAGCAAAGATCATATCAACAAGGAACTCAACTGTGGCAATGATATCTGTTCAAATTCATTATGGAAAGGAGGGGCATGCACAAGATGCAACCACCAATTTGAGACGACCATGCAACATGTGTGCGAGGAAGCAGAGATTAAATTGAGGCGGTAAGAAACATGACAAATTATCAACCGATGTGACTCATTCATCAGACCGCGAGCAGCTATGCCTAATCAGAGACAGGACCCATAGATTTTTATCCTCAGAACCAAATGATATTGATGGGGCTCACTTAAATCTGCCTTAAGTGCCCTATGAGTAATAGATTAATATAAGCTAAAGTGTATACAAACACAGGCTGAGATATGCTCATCCTGTCAGCTAGATTTCCAGTATTCAGTAGAAATTGCACATTAGTCAATTTTTTCTTACTATACTCCAGCATTAATTTCCTAGCACCATTATACCCAAAATCATGTTCGATGAGCATTTTCTGCGAGCTTTGTCCACAAGAAACTAGTATACAATTTTTACATATACTAGTAGCTGAGTGAGCAGCTGAAGAGGGTGGGCAAGTTGAGAAAATGGTATCCCTTACCCTCCACTGAATGTGAGAAAGATATGGCAGGGTGGCAGCCGTCTGTAAAAGTGTTTGTGCTGTGTGACAACTCGTGTGTTCAATAATGCATAATGGGGTGTAGTTGTGTATAATTTGATGGGGCACGGCAAAGTTCCATTCTCACGAGACCATATAATGTGGATGAACATTTAAATTTATTTCTCTGGGTTAATTCTCTCTCCACTCCCAAAGTGATGATTGTTATAGGTAGTGTCAAAGATACGGATAAGCAATTAAATATCTTAAAACCTTGTTTTCAAAAATCACTACTAAACTGTTCATCCACCTTAACACTGAACTTGCCAATAAAGCATTTAAGATTCTGTACTTTAAATAATTACAGGAATATTGCCCCAAGTTTTCCTTTCAATTAAAAAATATAAAATTGAAAACTAACCTTGGCGCAAATGGACATGACGAACTGCAGTGTCAACATAGTGGCGTCGAGGTTCACCAGAATGAATCATGAGACCATCTGTGAATTTCATGCTCTTGGCTCGCTGTCCTCGTAGCTTACCAGACACCACAACTTCACAACCCTTTGCACCAGACTCCATGATGAACCGGAGCACACCATAACATGCTCTGTAAATTAAAAATTATTTATATTTACAAAAATATAAACAAGTTATTGTACATCTAATATAAATCACAATTTTTAGTGGTATGCAACCAATCTCTTAACTTCACATTGAAATAATTTCTACTACCTATAGTCATGATTTCACCCACAGCCAAGCATACAACCCTGTCATAATAAGCCACTCTCACTAATGCACTTATTTTGCCATTTATCTGCCCCAGCCATCATAATGGCTAGAACATAATAATCATAATGGCTGTTTTAGCCATCTGGACATAGGTAGGATAAGGGTAAATGAGATTTTGGCATTGCAAGACTCATAATGGACTAAAAGGACCCTTAGTGGTTAGTGCCATAACCACTAAGGTTAGTACCATAACCCTTTAATGGCACCAACTGTATATACTGTATACAATTTTGATCTAATTGCCTGAAAGGTGTGCATTGTATATATTCATCTTAAAGTACTGTACTGCACAAGATTTAAAAGTCCCACGGCTACACATCGGCCTCCTCAGGGTAGCCGATAGGAAGCTAAAAAGTAAACAGACGCCATTAAAAAAAAAAGTTGTGGATACTATTCCAGAGTGTGAAGGTTTCAGTACTGAGAGAGCACCCAAGGCTGGTGCATGCAACATGAGCTAACAGCACTACTGTTCAGCTTGTGACCACAGCATCACCTAAAAACGTCAAAATATATATGTAACTGGTATTATTTAGCAACGATAGCATTACAGAAGAGCCTGACTGTGATAAAGACTATGTACAATGTTCAGGTATCAGCGAATACAATGCTGTTTAAAATGTTCACAGCACCAGAAACACCTTACTCGTCAACATTCCTCCTACCACCATACTGTTATGGTTTATATTACACTATTTACACATGTATAAGTATCTACACGTTTTATTCACCATAACTATACAACTAAGCTGGTATCGTGTCCAAATAGCACAGTGGCCACCATACACTGCATGACAAGTCACACAGCAGACAATGCTACGAGTAAGACACCACCTCCCAACATACTGTTATTACACTATATACACACGTTATAAATTAATAAGTATCTACATTTGTGTTCACCATAGCAAACCACTAAGCTAGTATGGCAAGACCAAACAAGAGTATGCCACACACAGTGACACTACCTCAATTCCCTCCCTCACCAAAAATTCCTCCTCCCACAATACTATGCACAGCTCTAATATCACCACAATCCTGGCCACTAAATCCTGTAAATGAATAATTTACCGCAAATTTGTTTTATAAAGGAACATAAGAAGTCATTTGAAGATTCCTAGATGGACGAAATAATGCTGTGGCTAGCGCTGTGAACATCTTGAACAGCACTGATTCACTGATATTTGAACATTGTAGTCATTATCACACTTAGGCTTTTCTGTAATACTATCATGGCTAAATAATACCAGTTACACATATATTTTGACATTGTTAGGCGACAGACACTATAGTCACAAGCTGAACAGCAGTGCTGTGAGCTCATGCTGCGTGTGCCAGCCTAGGTTGCTCACTCAGTACCGAGACTCTCACACCCGGGAATGTTGACCACGATTAAAAAAAAAAAGGCATCCGTTTACAAGCGCCCTGACGAAGCTGATGTGAACCCCATGTAGCCGCGGAAGTTTTGAATCATACACTATACCTATAAGATCCCCGAGGCGCATTGCGCACTACCCGTTGAGCGCCTACAGGCGCGATGCGCAGTGCAGTGGTTAATAAAATTAAAGCATATTACCTCCTGACTGCAAGACCTCCGACAAGTTTGTATCTAAGGGATTCAGCCTGAGCAATGGCGCACAGACCACGCTGTGCCACCTTTTCTGCATATAGCTCAACAGATCCCTCAGCAAATCCAAAACGCTTCTGTACCAATGAAGTCAACTCCCTGATACGTCGCCCCTTCTCACCTGGAAAAATATTAATAATTTCAGTTTTAGTGATCTCCACACTTAAAGAGACTTCACCAAATAAAATTAAACACATACAATACCTCTATAGCACTTTTTGGTGACTAATGCCAGCGTAACAAATTGAAAATCCAAATTTTATAACCAAAGTACCATTCTTGGAATATATAAAATCAATAAAAAAGTCAAAGAAGGATTAATTAATAATATGCCAAATATGACTTTAAATATCTTGTGTGGGAGATCAGGAAAGGTATCCAGTGACTGCCTATATCAGAATGTGAACAAATATAACAAGCAGTGCAAAGATTATAGGGTGTTTAAATGGGTGCAGAAAGCTTTGAATAAGGAATGAGAATTTTGTCTAGAGTTAAAAATAGAGGTAAGTTGTAGCATATTAGTGTTGTCTCGGTATTTGTAGTGCATGTAGAAAAACTAGTACAGCATATCTGATCAACATTAAGTACCTCACATTTTCAATTTTGTTTTTAATTATAAATTCTTACGCCAACTGTGTGCCTTTGAATAAGACAGAGTCTGCTAGAGGTAACACTATTAATCCCCGAGGGACCTTCCAGATCTTACTTATTTTGTTGACATTCACCCACTATACCAGTTAATTTATTCAGCTGTAGCTATACTAAAAAACACTATCCCTACTTCTACTATTAGGGACCTAATTGGCATGTTTTTCCAAAGGAAAATGGCTTCCATCAGACAACTTATAGATGAAAATTGGCAAATTTACATGCAAGATAAACATATGGGGAGCATACAGGCTTTGAGATCCTGGCTCAAATACCCCTTCCAGTCAGAGCATACAAACCAAAGCATCACAGGCACTATAAATTATAGGAAAGATAAAAGTTTGATAGGGAGGTATTCCACATTAATTTGAAGATCAATAATTAAAAAAATAAAGAAAAGAAAAAAGAAAACCTTACCTAACACATTCTGAGTGCGGGTAGCAAGGATGATAATCTCGGTTCTTGCAGGGGTGTGGCGAACCTGCACACCAGAGTAGCCATCTTCTGCCAACTCATTGGTGAGGAATCTATTAAGTTCTGCCTTGAACACACCATCCTTAACGAACTGAAAACAAAATATTTTATTAGCACACCCAACTTTGATTATTCCAAACACCTTAATTATAATTACAATAACCAAATCATGCCTTCAGTTGACCAACAACTGCATTTCACTCGTCTCTACCAGGTAATTATTTTTTTACAAGTTTACCCTATAGGATCAATTGAATTTAAGGGGGGGTGTATTACCCGATTTTTAAATGTTGTTTAATATCAACCAAACTTTTTATACTAGTTGTATATAAGAAGGGCTGCAACTGTTCCAAGTTTCCGTATCGCACCCTAAATAGAAAGGGAGGGATTTTTTTTTCCAACGAATTTTACACATCTTAATAAAACTCTACAACAATTTTCAAATGAAATCATTTCCATGACACTCATCTATTACATTAGCATATAATAAAGGATTTGTATAGAAAGGATTATCCAAAATATTTAGTTTTACTAATACTGTACAAGTAGTCAAAAGAGTTCCCCAAAAATATATGCCAATATTTCATGTTTGCAAATATTTATAAAATCAATAAATGAACTTAGAAATAAAGTGTTCTATAAGTTTATTAGATGTTAACTCTACATACAAGATGTAAATTTCATGTAAATTGAAAAAAAATGAAAGGAGAGTTCATTTTATGTTACTTGACAATAAATGAGAAAAATTCTGCCACCTGTGGTTGAAGTTGACTTCAACCAATTTCCTCCAAAATTTGCACCCTGTCGGATAGGCTTATGTTCTGTAAGGTGTACAAGTTTCATGCAAATCAGCCGATAAAAAATATGAGAAAACTTGATAATTTTTTTTTTAATTTTGGGGCATAAAACTAAATATTAAAATACTTTCTTATATACTATTGTGATAGCTTAAGAGTCATAGACATGATTTCAGTTGACACTTTTGTTTGATGTTTATTTTTTACCATTTTGGAAAATTTTGATATAATTCAATATTTTTTTCTCCCATCCTATTTATACTACGATGCTGAGACTTGGGCCAGTTGAACCAAATTTTATATACAACTAGTCAAAGTTTGATTGAAATCGAACCAGTTTTCATTTTCGCATTTTTCCAGCATACTCCCCCCTTAAAGTCAGCAGGACTTTCCACTTCCTTTCTTTTTACCAGATACAGTGCAGTACAACAATAATAAATATTGACTTGCTTGTGCATTAATAAAACACAGTACCGTATAATAATTCACTGTCAGGAGACAGGCAGCCAGTGTATTTATAAAGGTTAGGCTTATATTGAGGTCTCTAATCCCTCCACTGGACCTCAATTAACCCCATAACAAGCTGTACCTCCTTACTGCTAGGTGAAAAGGTGCTTTAGGTGATAGGAAATGCGCCCAACAATTTCTGTCCCCGTGGATCAGAACCCGGAATTCTCGATTGCGAGTCTAGAACAAACCACTGCACTACCGGGTCTCCTCAGTATGAAAATTATAGAACTACTGTATAGGAAAGGAAACAACAGGTAAATTGGTGGATAAAAGTCATATCATACACAAGACTAGACTATTTGCCAAAGGATTTTAAAACCAACCTAACCTTACCCAACCTAATCAAGCCTAACATGTTAAATTGTATTCGTTTAATAATATAGTTTTGACATAAGCTTTGTTGAAAAGCCTGTGAATAATATATGCACTGAGCTGTTCTTTCAATTTACAACCCTACTCTAAAAATTTTATTTACAAAAGGTCTTTATCTAAACGTATTTAATCCTTATCCCTTTGTTATGCATTTTACAGTATTTTACTTATGATGCAATTAGCACCCCTAGAACTATATTATAGGGAAAGCCCTTTTTAAATTATTTTAATAACCAAATGTTTATATTGACTTTTTGGAGTACTGCATAAATTGTATATATCAACCATATAATTTTTTGAAATAGGAAACATTGCCACAAATTTACAATCAGGAACCATTTGCAGTTACAAATGAAATACAGTACATCAATTTATGACAACCTGTTTTCCACATAAAAAGGGAATTAATTTTTCAGACAAAACCAAAGTGGGATGTATCCTGTCCATATGTGTATAATCGCCTGAATAAACATTCATGTACAGCGTGTTCTCGGTTTAACAAATTGTCCAGTGGAACAATGTTCTTTTCAGTAAGGATTGTTCACCTAAAAGCCAACTTCAATCCTGACCATCAAGACATGTTATCTAGTCATGTTAGGCTGACCTAATTCAATCGTAAACTACTGTGAACAGCACATAAAATCTATGCTCCAAATTATATATAAAAAAAGTGAATAGGTTCCTCTATTCCCCTATGTGGTGCCGAAATATATATATGGGCACATTCTGTATGGTCCATGCCTAAAGAACTTTAAATGCAAAGTCCAAATTGTGATAAAATATGCAAAAATTAAACAATATATACAGCACTAAACTCCAACATATAATAGCATTATTCAGAACAACTAAGCCTGTACACAAAATTACCAACAGATGCTCCCAAGCCAGTCTTGGTATGCCTTCAAGCACCAAAGATATTTTAGCTGGTAGAGGCTACAATTTTATTTTTAATTATTCCACCCATGCTAGAAAGTAGAAAGAGGCAACAGCAGTACACAAGTAAGTTTTACTTCCCTTCCCCTCCTTATAACTTAAGGGACCTTTGACAAGCTGCTGGCTTCCTGTCCTTGTCAAGGCCACTAGGGTTAGTGGCCTTCTAGTTAAAAAAAAAAAAAAAAAAAAAAAGGGAGGGGGGGGGAGGAGTGTGCCCTACCCATTTTACATTTTTGGGGCCCAACTTAAAAGCATGTAAAATTTAAGAGCAAAGTAAAAATTTTGCCAATGATCACTTTAACCATGTGACTCAAAATAAGGAAAGGGCAATACTGGACCATTCTCAAGTCGATTGTGATGAGGAGGTAGGGACAGGCAATAAATAGGCAAGAGAGAGCCGAGGAGGAAAGTCAGGTGTAGGGGATAGTAGTAATGGAAACTGCAGCAGGCCTATTGGCCCATACGAGGCAGCTCCTATTATAACCACCGAAGGAGAAGTAATAGGAAAAAGAAGAGGATAGCAAGGGAGCGTAGAAGACAATGAACATTCAGCCACGTTATTGTGACTCATCGCCTGCATACGGTCCTCTGGTAGGTTAGGAGGGCAGGAAGTTCTAAAGTTTCAAAATGTCATGAAAGCCATTAACACTTTCGCGCTTTAGATTACAGATAACTCGTCGCCGTTTTCTCTTACGATTCCGCATAACAGCCGAGTTTTCTCGCCCATCGAAAAAATATTTCTATAAATTCCATTTTTTAACCGAAATGTATGGGGATACTTTTGTTTTGTAGGGAATTTATTTGTGAATGTTTTGGTACCAGAATGAATATTATATCACAAACTTCTATGAGTAAAAAAAAAACACACACAAAGTATGTTTGGGGGTGTGGCGAGCGTGTGGCAGTGGGTTCCCTTTAGCCGTTGATATATCCAACACGTGGGAAATATTTGTATGTGTTATGTATATGTCTGTGTAGGGAATTTTACTGCGATCACTGTCATACAAATTATAAAATGTTTCAACAAGTATAAACATGACAAACATCAAACGAACGAAAACAATGCGTTCGTTTCTGCCGCGAACGCATACTGAGCGACGTGGTTCTATATTTGGCGCTTCTCTTACACATGCTTTGTACAAATGTTATACAGTTCATCTTATAGAAAATTTTATTGCGAACACATTGGTATAAAAAAGAAATACGTACATAGAAAAGTAGGGTCAGGAAACGTATAAACTTTCCAAGCATGATTTCCCCCCTGTGTTTTCGCCAGTGCGCTCGCGGCTAACTACTCTCCACTTCACACACTCTTGCGGGTGGGCAATTACCTATATTAAACATTCATATGCATATGTTCGTGTAGAGAATTTTATTGCGATTCCAATGATACCAAAATTAGTGATGTAGGACAACTGTAGGCTTCGCAACCATTAAGAGAGTGGAAACATTTTGTTGCTGTTTGGCGCTCTCGGCGAGTGATCTGCATAGTTTTTAATTTGGTGTTGATACTCCTTATGCTTGGGCGGCATTTTATAGGTATGCTCTTATAGACAATTTCATTGCGAACACAGTGATACGAAATTTAAATACGTGCGCCTTCAATTATTGTCAGGACAGTCAAAAGAGTGTACACTTTTCGGTCTTACCGCGTAGGCGCGCGAAGTGCCGAAAGCATCTGGGGTATTGTTTTTTTTTGAGCACCGAGAGTGCGAAAGTGTTAATTGAAATTTTTCTCTCCTAACCTAAATTATAAGATTAACCAAAGGACCCAAAACAAAAAAATAGGACAGTACGTCACTTTTGTGAGCAGATTCCAGTTTCAATTACAATATGTCCTTTTTTAGCAGATTGCACATACAAGCAAAAAGCGACAATTTATAAGACGGGTTGTATTGCTTGGACATTTCCCTTGTTACCAAGTAATAAACTATACAATGCAGTACAGTGGACGTAGGCCCTTCTATTGTTGACAAATACAGCGACAATAGAAGACTGGATATTGGCGAAGCATTATACACCATGCAAACCTAGCCAACTATCAACCCCAAATTACACTGCCATCTTCGAGAACATGACAAAACATACGGATCCAACCATCATGAAAACAGGTAAGCTTCAATGGGCCACAAGCGAGGCGCTTCATCTCATCCCCGGCTATATATCCGGTAGCACAAAGACTTGACCATTCAAACTTTGTCTCATGCTAGAAGCATTGCTCTCACCCTTTGGCATATCCATTATGTCTACTAGACAGATTGCAACCAAAATATACTATTGTAAACTTGTGGATGAGGTGTACAAGAAACCCATCCTCCTGATATGATGGTACCTTTAGTAACTGTGTGCTCGATCGTACCAATATGTAGAAATAGAGCTCAAGGAAGCCACTTTCTGTATTTTTTCTTAGTGGAAAAATAACAGCAAATCCAAATTAAATTATTCTTAGGCCTAGCATATCACATTTTAGGCCTCATTGTGTTAGGCATATGACGGTTATCAGATTTCATTAGTAATATATACAAACTTTTCTGGTCTGCCCAAATGCAATAATATAAGTTAACTTTCTATAGGTCCATCTAGACATTTGTACTATCGACCACCTAAGTTACTTAAAGTACTTTCATTTTAGGAGGATGGGTTGGAGAAGGCAAACGTAGCCTGGAGTCCCTAGATTATTCAAGTATAGCTCAGGAGAAATGGGAGTAAATATGGCAGTATAAACAGACACTGCTTCACACGAGTCAATAACCTTGCTGTAGTCGCCTGTACTCTTACGGTCACACGAGGGACATTGGTAAATAAGGCCGGGAAACACTCCGGAGTTTTACAAACACCTTAACCACGGATTAAGCTGGTTTGACCTATTTATTACTGCCTAAAGTTTAAATAATTTCATCTATGGGAAATGTACAGAGGAATTAATATAATTAAACTAACAGTCTAGAAACTCTCGAGCAAAAACACACACACCGCCCCAACACGCTGGACATGTGCGGCGCGCCAATACAAACATTCCCCGCACTACAACCCCTAAAACTGCTACATTTACAACTTCCCCGCCCGCCCTGAACAAACACTAAGGAGTACGCTACATAACCCACAAACAAGGCCCATGGAACTCCTAATGTGAGCGAGAAACACAACAAATAACACCACCTTTTTCTTCTTGCTGATCGGGGCAGCCATCTTGACGGAAAGAGCGAGTCGAGCACACTGGCCCGCCGCTCTGCACCCGGTAAATATCTCACTCTCTACACCACCCTCCTCCACCTCACTTTTACATTTATTACATTAAAAAAATTATTTAAATTCAATCTAAATTTATTAAGTAGTAATTAGCCTCTAGAAGATGCGTATATATAATTCCTGGAGGAGAGTTGCGCCTGGCGCGCGTCACTCGACCACAACGTCAACATTGGTAGGGTCGAGCGAGGGATTTTTTGTAGATTTGTCTCATTTTGACAATTATGGACTCATTAAACACAGAAAGAATGTCGTCGTCACAGCGAGAGGTGCTCATGGACCAAGTTAAACAACAGATAATTATTGCCAACACACAGGAACTGCTGACGGTGAGACCGGGTTACCGGGGAAGTTGGGACTTGTCACTACATGCAGACGAAAAAAGATTATTACATTGTTATAGCTATAAGATAATAACAGCTTAGAAATCTATTTAGATTAAACCACCGAGCTATGTAGTTCGACTATTTTTAGGAATATCTTTTAGGTACTCTGGGAAGTAGTAGAGATGATGAACATTGAAGAAGCGTGCCGCCTGGAGATTGCACATGTCAACCAATATAAATCTTAAGATTTTTGATGAGAAAGTCTTGTGTGTGTCCAATTTCTGTAATCAGGTCCTGAAACCTAGTTCTGAAACTATTGGATATTGTGTTTTTTTATATGTTTTCCAGCCATGTGGGGATCATAACTACCACAAATAGTATATAACCATAGTATGTGAAACAATGGAAAAAGAATTACAGTACAGTATATATGTTTTTGTTTATAGTGAGCATAATTTGTTCCTCAATAAGTGGTGAAAATCTTTGAGCATTGATTGCCCAGATGTTGTCACTATGCATTCCCATGCAATTACATAATGTATTATGTAATTTTAGAATGGATGAAAAGTTTGATTTATTTCAGAATGGTATAATTGGCTGTTCATAATGAAAAATCTTCAGAGCAGTGTAAGCCTGGATTTATTTTCTTATTGATGGGGGAACAGGAAGTTGCTAGACCAACTACTAACCTTAAGTATGATACAACCCATCACAGTTGCCTAACTCCTGGTTACCTGTAAGTGTGCAGAGCCATCAAGTGAAAGGAAACATGCCAAGCTTCTCTTGTCCTACTGCAGGAATGAACTCTGGGACCTTTCAGTTCTAAAGTGATTGGCAGTAATTTGTTATTCTAACACTTTTTGAGAAGCTTGTTTCCAAAATAGTTAAAAAACTGATGTATTGGTAATTAGATAAAGCTTTCTCACAAAATGCTTTAAACTTTACCTATTTCCCAATTTTATTTAAATAATTGCACCCATTTTTAATTGTTTTGAAGGAATGATTAATATGGGATAGCAGTAAGAGATGATAATCGTGCTATTTATAATTTTGTAAGTAAAAGTTGCTGTAACTTTTACCTGACAGCCACATATCTCTAGTGAATTTGATGAGGACAGGAAGCTGGCAGCTTGTCAAATGTCCCCACATTTGTCCTGATGATTTTATCAAGCTGGATTTTAAAATTCAGCAGTATTTTGACATGGCATTGGCAGGTAGACAGTTACATGAGTTTATAACTCAGTTGGTGAAAAAACATCTTCTTTCTGTCCTTTCGATATTTCTTTTCAAAATTTCAATGAGATCCATCCTGCCATGTCTGGTTTGCAGTGTTAGTAATGTGGCCCTCAACCATTCCTGTTATGAGAGTCAACTTAGTTCTGGAGTTATTTTTGTTTTCTGGTGTTGAACTTTCTCCAAAGCAGCTGTGTCTTTCTGAAGATGAGGTCTCCATGCTGGGATAAAATAATCCAGGTTGGGGGGGGGGGTTGCAGCAGAGATTTATACAGTCAAATAACTACCTCCTTTTACATTGCCTCTTCCAGAATTAGATGACATAAATACTGTATTCCATTATGACATAGACATTGAAGGTTTGTTTATTCATGGATGTAAAAGCACAATCAACTGATTAAGATGTTATCAATACTGAACAATATAAAAGTTATTGGTACGGGGATTTAATTATCATTCTTTTTTATAATACCATACCAGAAACCTGTAACAGAATGTTTATTTAGCTAGACAAGGGCAGTTTACCCTTGTTCATTTCATAAACAAATTGTTCCACTCAGTCTTAAGGAAATATTTTGACCCAACTCATCATGACTTGCATCTCAATCACACCTGTTAGAGTTAGACCTACAGATCATAAGGTTTCATTGTTTTAGGGTGTGCATCAAGTATACTACAGATTAAACAAGGAATTTGCTACTTACCATATATGAATCTTATAACTCCTATATAGTTAGATATATTGGATAGGAATGAGAGGTTTAACATTATATTAAGCCATTATCAGATACTATTTACAAATTTATCATTTATTGACACATTCAAATTCATCATTATTGTTTTAAAGTAAAAACTGCTGCTTTGGTAAATTTTTTTGTTAACACCATTATTTGAGTATACCTTCAGTGATACTTCCTATGGTGGTCTTGTTCACTACTTAACCTCTGAGCTTAAGTATTAATTAAACAAAAATTACCCATAAAAGTCTAATCTTAATATTAATTTAAACAGAAAATGGGTGAAAAATGCTTTTCCAAGTGCATCTCAAAACCCGGATCATCCCTAGATAGTTCTGAACAAGTGAGTACAGTAGCTTCTTTTTCTTATGTTCATTGTAAATCAGTTTTTCAGATACTTATCAGTAACATTTTAAGTGTACTTTACTGTTGTTTTGAATGTGCCTCATAAAACAATTTTGGTGTGTTACATGTTAACATTCTTAGGTTTTAGTTTTATGTATCTTTTTATGGAATTGATATTCCATTCATAGTTTGTTTGTTGCAAATAATAAAATATATTGAATAGTTTGGAAAACCTATTAGTTGCAAAACTACTACCTGAATTTACCCTTTTCATTGCTTGTTGTTATACTTTTTATGACATTGTATTTTGCTCTCAGTTATGAAGAAAATGGATTTTACCCAAGATGCAATATTTTAGTCCTTGATCCAATATTCATTAGATAACTTAACATTTACAGGAATGTGTGTATAGATAGGGCAATATTTTCTTCTAAATGTATTTTTTGCTTTTCAGAAATGTTTGGCAATGTGCATGGATAGATATATGGACTCTTGGAACCTCGTCTCACGGACGTATACTAGTCGTCTCCAACGAGAGAAGAACTTCCAGTAGCGATCTACAATCTGTTCCTTATTTTTATAGCTGAATCTTGTAAATTATCATCAGAGCTGTAACAATAAAACTTGTATTCATAATGGTTGAAATGAAATCCTCAGAACTGTAGAGGCATTAAAATAAATTATAGTTCATTTAATTTTCTGTTGGGTTCTCAATAGGTTTGGTTCACAAATATCTTTGCATAAAATATCGAATAGTGTTTATACTTGAAATTAGTTATCATAATTAGAAATAGGATCTGCCAGGAAAAACTTGAGCATAGGAGAGTAATTTTTCTTCCATATTTATCTGAGCATAGTTTTGCATCAATAAATGTAATTTAACTTTTAAGATATTTAAAATATATAATTTTCTGTCAATTTTGCATGTACAGTAGTACTGTACTGCTGTAAAATATTACTGTACTACAGTACAGTACTTGCATTATTTGAGGCAGCAGATAGGCTTACATTTCATTATTCTAAGAAATATTTTATTCAGTTTTGGCAAATAAAAAATAAGAATGTGCTATACAGGGTCAGGTTTCAAAATATTTGTTTGTTAGCACATAAATTTTGTCAAAAATTGTTCAAACTAAAATGGATTTCATGGTAGGATCATAGACATCAACTGAGTGGACCACTGTACTGTGTTACTAATTAACTACCTCCTGTGAAGTCTCATCCTTGTTCTCTTAATTGACTTGGTGCAATGTGTGAACTGCTAGTTGATATAGTACTGTATATATGGGTATTATCACTGGTCATATGTTAAGTAGTTAAAAAGTCTTGCTCGAAGTTTTCTTTGTGGGATGGAGTGGGGGGGGGATCAAGAAATAATACTGGGTATGAAATTAATTTAAATTAGCATGTTATTTAGCAGTGATGTAGGTTCTGATGATTGTAAATAAATTCTATGAACTATTTTCATTTATTGTTTTGTATCTATCCTTTTAAAGCCTCTTTTGAGATTTATACCACTGGGTAATACCACTAGATTTTATTACACATTTGATGCAATCAAATATTTTGGGAGGTAATGATAGTTGTAAATTCTATTACCTTCTTGGAAATTAATAATGAATGTCTGCAATAAACGTGGAGATAATTCTCAAAGTACATAACTAAATGTTAAGTCACGATCAGCTCTACTACAGTTCTTGTTAATGCGTGTCCACAGTGTCTTCTATTGTACAGTAACTTGTATTGCTGCATTCTTCAGCTCAAAGTGTAAAGACAATTTTTGTGTTAAAGTACTTAAAGGAATGTGGAGGTGTATTTTAGATCATTTTTGTTGTGACCACTGTTACTCATTTATTGTATAGTGTTGAATATATTTCTAGTTATTTTTATAGGTGGGTATATCCCATTGGAACCTCTGGACTTGCTGAGGTCATCTTAGCCAGGAGCTATACTATTTTTAAATGATCACCCATCTGCGTACTTGCCAAACCTAATTTGAGTGATGTGTATGTGATTCAATATGATAGCCTTAATTTTCTATAACAAAATATATGGCCTGTGCTATTAACAACCAATTTCAGTGTAAGGCAAAAACTGCATATGCAATGATTTATTTATTTATTTATATACAAGAACTTTCATTGGGTTTTTGAGGGTACATAGCACTGTTTACCTTCTAGTAAAGCCACTAGTACGCGCAGTGTTTTGGGCAGGTCCTTAATATAACAGATAATTTTAAATAGGTAAATTCTAGGAAAATGGATAAAATTTTAACAGGCACATTGTAAGAAAAAAATGAGAGAGATTAGTAGGTATATTAAAGCACATCGATAGCTCTGATTGATAGCATTGACAACTTGATTGATAATTTAACAAAGATTAATAGGCACAATACAGCAGCATATTGATATCACATGTAAGATGACAGCAATGATCACAATGGTAATGTGGTGAATTATGATAACAAATTATTGTGAATATTAGACCTAATATATGAGTATAGATGAAAATTTGACCATTTTGGTTTAAATTGGAACATGTTGCAAATCTGCCATGACAGGGCTGATTTCATAGAAACTTAAAATACTGTACTGAACAATTTGGAGGATATTGATAGACAACTTATTTGAAAGTTTAAATGTAACACGAACAAGGAGCAGCAGTGTAGGACAAAACAGGAAATACTTTTCACCCAAATTGTAATAAACCCATGGAACCGCCTACCCGCCGAAGCCGTAAATACCAAAACGCTGCAGAATTTCAAAATCTGGCTGTAAAATCAGGAATGGTGATTTTACACCCCTAAATGGTGGGGAGTGGAGGAACTTTTGATAAGCCTCCAATTTCCTGTCCTTGTCGAGGCCACTAGAAATAATGGTCCATAGGCAAGGTAAATTCAGGAAACCATTCTATTAGATGCGGATATTTGATGAATAAATTTTGTATAGCAATTAGATTTGGTATAGTTAGATTTTGATCTATACTTCGTAATCGTTCATACAGAATATAATATTGTAGCAGCACATTGCTCTATGTAGTTTGTTAATAAAAAACTAATATACTATATATGATTGTTGTTGTCCCTAAATCAACAAGAGAAACAACAGCGCTTGTACATGATAACGATGGCAGTCGGCCTGAATCGTCGTCCCATTGTAATTTTTAATGTATAGATTGTTTTTTATTTCGAATGTATACCCGCCTGGCAATATTTACGCATGTTGAATTTGTCTTTAATTTTGGGCTGGTAGTCCTATCTTAGAGGTCATGATTGATCCACATAAAATTATGTAAATTGGGAGAAAGAGTTCAATATATTTTTTTAAATATTTAGTAATTATAATAATTAAAATTTTGACTTGCAATTAGCAACTAATTATATAAGATCTTGTTAAGAAATATTTTCCGAGGTGACCGTCAATAATCTCGAGGTCGTCATGTAATCTCCAGAAGATCCCGTTCTCTTGCACGCTCGACCCGCTCGTGTAAACATGGACAAGCCAGTCAAACTTGCTCGTGTGAGTATTATTACTGCCTCTTATCACCTCTCTAACCCTAATAACGTGCTAATTATCAAGGGTTTTATGTTGTGTATTGTTATTAATGGTGTTACTCTTGCCGGGGGTTTTGTTAGAAGGGAAAGACGAAGAAGAGTTGGTGGAGGATGGCATGCATGTGGCGGACATCATGTCTGGACTATTTTATTAACAATTTTGCCTATATTTCATTATATTCTAGGTTGGTGCTTTAATTTAACCAGCATTCGGCAATTCAAATTTTGAAGATGGATAATATTTGTTTAATTTCACTTGTTTTCCAGAGTTTATATAGGTTAAGATTATAAATCAAAATTCATTGTATCTGGGGACAGGCAGCCAGTGTATATATTGTATATATGTTAGGCTTATATCAAGCCCCACCCCACACTTTTCCCCCTGAGGGTCGAATTACTGACCCTCGCCAGGATGTAGCCCCACAATATGATGTCTGTAAGTCCCACTGGGACAAACATCATATTGTGGGGCTAGTCCCGGGTGGGACTTTATTTATATTATTTAGATAATTACAATAGAATAAAAAAGGCCCACAAAACTTTATTATGCACCCCATACCCATTCCTCGGGCAGTAGTGGACCCATACCCATTTCATCCCTCAGCAGTTGTGGACCCCCATACCCATTTCATCCCTCAGCAGTTGTGGACCCCCATACCCATCCTGTGGGCAGTAATGGACCCCATACCCATCTCATCCCGTGGACAGTAGTGGACCCCATATTCATCCTGTGGGGGGTTACCTTGAGGTGTTTTCGGCGCTTAGCATCCCCGCAGCCCGGTCGTCGACCAGGCCTCTTCATTGCTGGACTGGTCAACCAGGCTGTTGGACGTGGCTCAGGAACTGAGCTCCAAAATTCTTTCAGCTAAGCATGTTAGTTCTGATATGCTAGTCACATAGTTCAGTACATTTTATCTCGACAATGGGTTTGAGAATGACCACAAGTGCAGTCTCGAATCTAAGCAGCATATGTTTGTGTTGAGAAATTTTCATAATTTGGTTTGCTTATTGTGCACTTCACCCTGCATACAGCGGGCATACCTGGAGAGGGTTCTGGGCATTAGACTCCCGGAACCCGGCCTGGGGCTGGGCTCAACCTGTATAACTGGTCCAACAGGCTGTTGCTTAGAGTGCAGGCCCATGTATCCACTACAACTTTGTTAGTCAGGCACTTTTTGCAAAAACTTAATCTAAATGCTTCTTGAAGACATCCACCTTTCTTCCAGCAATATTTCTAATGCTTGCTGGGAGGGTATTGAAAAGCTTTGGGCCTCTGTTGTTCAGACAGTGTTCTGTAATTGTGAATATGGCAGGTTATCTTGATGATTTCGGGGCTTAGTGTCCCCACGGCCCAGTCCTCTACCAGGCCTCCTTTTTGTTACACACCCCCAGGAAGCAGCCTGTAGCAGCTGTCTAACTCCCTGGTACCTATTTATTGCTAGGTAACAGGGGCATTAGGGTGAAAGAAACTTTTTGCCTATTCTGTCTCCGCCTCCACTGGGGATTGAACCCGGAACCTCGGGACTACGAATCCGAAGCGCTGTCCACTCGGCTGTCAGACGCCTTCCATATAGGTTCTCTTTATTACCTCTATTTCAGTAAGCTCTCCTGCTCTGAAAGTGAAAGTGAGTACTGAGTAGCACTCAAGATTAGACAGCACCATTGATTTAAATAGTATTAACATTGCTGTGGGATCTCTAGATTTGAACATTGTCACAATCCATCCTATCAAAGGTTACACTTGCCTCCATTTACTACCTACAGTTAGCAGACAAGTATACAGTATTTTTTTTAAGAAAAAAATTGTGGTGGTCTTCTGCATGCACCAGTCTTGGAGTAGGTACAGTGCTTTTTGTAAAATTTAAGGTGTCATGATAGATGACCCCTAAGGAGTTTGAATGTTGTAATTAGGCTTATCTTTAGCCATGAGGAAAAACTATTAAAACTTAATAGCTAGAAGTAAATAGGTGTGATGTGGAGGTCAGTACCAATAAGATCATACACGTATGGTAAAGTGTGTAGTATGCAGTAAAATGGCCTGAATTATTTTTCCTACTGATAATCAAAACTTGTTGGTGTTGCTTGGGCTAACGAACTTTTAATTGTACTGTTCATTGTACTGTTGTATTGTTCATTTACTGTGTAAATGAATGCATTTTTGTTATAATCCTTAAGTAAAATTGCATGAGATTGTGTGTACTGTAATATTAGTCAATATTGTATGACCTTAACACTATCGCACTCTTTGAACGACCCTCACGTCTGATTTTTTTCTCTTGAGTCAGAGTATCAGACTGTGCTGGCGTCTGATAAAAAAAATATTTGTATAAAATTCGCTTATCCAATCGTCTTAAGACACAGTATAGATATTATGTGATAAAAATCATAATTGGTTCTGTCAATTGAATATCCAGGTTTTTGGGCAAGAAAGATTGCTAGTGGGCAATCGGTTTTTCATATTTCATCTATGATCAGCACACTGCATTTACTGTATGCATTTTTACCAGATGTTTAATTTAAGCATGGGGCTAAAATGTAGCATTGAAATGACTTTTACAGTTTGATGTATTTACATGTTTTTTGTAATTTATAACAATTAGGCTTGTTTTTGTAAACATATCCATTGCTTACCCTCCCCTACCCCCAGAATCATAAATCTCTTTCCTAGATAAAAGGATGAGTACAAGATTTCATTGTTCATTACCAAATTTCAAGATTTCATTGGGTGGGAAGCCACCAGTCTGGAGAAATAAGAGCTTACAGACTAGTAATAGGTGATCAGTATTACAAATTAGCACTCATTTATTCATTATTATTTATCTTTCCCATGTTACCTGATTTCTGAATGACTCCTGAGAGGGATTGTATTTATTCATACATGTACCATATACTTTAGTGCAGAATGTACAGTGCTAAGATTGGAGTAATCTTTTTTGTTCTATCTAATATAATTAGTAAATATATTATATTTGTAATTAATATAGTTGGTTCATAATAATGGATTGTTTACCAAAAGTTTTAAACTTTGTATAATACTTTTTATTAAATATTTATACAGTATTTCCCTCTTACTGAAAGTGACCCACTTTACTGAATTCTTGCCTTGCAATTTGGATTGTTTCAGGTGACAAAGGTACTGGGCCGTACAGGTTCCCAGGGTCAGTGCACACAGGTTCGTGTCGAGTTCCTGGATGAATCTCACCGTTCTATCATCCGCAATGTGAAAGGACCTGTACGTGAAGGGGATATCCTTACACTACTAGAATCCGAACGTGAGGCCAGGAGATTGAGGTGAACTTTACCAAATGACCTTCCATTTTTGTTGCAAAGTAAGCTTTATATTTATCTTTGTTTTATTGCATCAAAATTAATGTGTAGAATAATATGTGAAGACTATGATAATTGATCTGTAAAAAAATATTTAGCCGCTAATAGGCAATAAGCCTAATGGTGGTGGTCAACACAAGAAAGTGTGTTGTTACCTTCACCTTCACTAAGTAGATGCCTTAAATTGTTTTTGTCAGGTTAGCTTGTGATATTTAAGGAGTTATAGCATATACTGTATATAGATAACCCAGTGCACAGTATTTGAAGGCACAAAATAAACAGGCTTTGAGCTGAGTTTGGGGAGAAGAACCCTTGAAGCTGACTGTGAGAGCGAGTTCTGAGAGTTCTACTCCACAAGCCTGGCCTGGGTTTAGGATGGAACATATCCACAAGGCCTATATAAACATAGAGATGGTATTATAAATATACATGGCTTATGTTAGTTTCAGGTGGTATGAATGAAGAATTTAGATCACAGGCTGTTGTAGAGACATGTTTGATTTTTTTTTTTCCAGGATTGTGGTTAAAGTATAGTAATTGCCGCACTAAATTAAAACAATCTTTGGTAATGCTAAATTTTCATAGTTATTGCTAATGAATTAATATGGCTCTCCTTTTTTCAGGTGATTTGGTGAGATGCCTTCTTCTGATGGACTAAGAAATAAACTACTGTATTAAGAAAATGAAATTTTTATTACCCACATTTCAAATTTTCTGGTTTCTTTATTTTTTTATTTTACTTACCTTTTGTAGTCAGCCATTTCAATGCCTTATACTGTATAAATATTTTATTCTTTATATTGGAGGAAATGTATATTTTAATGCTTGATATATATTCAATACAAGATAATCACATAATAAAACAATTTGAAGCATAGTAAAATGCATGTTAGCTACTAAGTAGTGTTGAATTATTAATTTTGTCAGTTTTTGAAACTTCCAGGAATCAAATTAAACAATTATAAAAGTTTTGCATCTTGGTTGTTGATTCTGGTATCACTAATTTTTGTTATTTAAAGCTATTAAATATTCTGTTACTTTACTATTAAATGCTCATGGTGCTTTGTGCCTTCTTTTGATAAGTGTTTGCACATATTGGTGTGTGGCTCTTTGTGCATCTGATAACTTTAACGTTTTGTTTTTTGTTTCATATTAGCATCCTAAGTGATATTTAGGATCTTCAGAAGATCTCTGGGCACAAACGGTATTAGTCTTGGCTTGTTGCTTTTTCATTTGATAATTGCATAGTTATGTGGTCAATTTTTACGTACTGACCCCTTGTGGGTTTCATCTTGATGTGGTAAGGTTAGGCTCGGGATTACCTCGGCCCGCTCTCCAGACATTTTATGTGCAAAGATGGTGCTGCATGGCCTTCTTTGATAAATACTTACTTTATGTGCAAAGAAATGCAGGGTTTTTGACAAAGTCACCACCTGCAGAAGGGGCTGTTCATGGAGATATGTTTGGGTGTACAGGCTGGGGCAAAAGGAAGAGGACTGTGCTGGTATTGGAGAATTCCCGTTGAAAAGGGAAAGCATCGCTTGGGATGACTTGCCCTTTCCTGCACCAGCCTCCCTCCCTCGCTGCACCACCTCCCTTGTTACCCTAGAGTGGTATCCTTTGGCTCCGAAGTCCAAACGGGTTCGTGGGGAGTCCAACCAGATCTTCATACCTGTCACTAATTTGGCAGGGATTGCTCCATGTCCTCAGTGGCAGCTACTTTGTCATCTGGTGCAACTCCATCTATATATGTTACAACGATTCCTTACACACACCCCTCCCTACTGAAGGACCATGGTGCTATTTGCTTTGCATTTCTATTGTCCATGTGTCCCTTGAAAGAACCCATTTAAAATTAAAAAGAAATGCCTGATTTCCTCCCTATACTACTACCTTCTGTCTTGTCTATTCTCACTATTTTATCTATACAGTATTAAAAAACCAGGGGACATTGCATATCCCACTTTAATCTTAAATTTTATATAAATATGCATCAAAACGCAAGATATCGAGGACTCGAATGTGTCTGTGCTCTCAACAAATATACTACTGTATTTGAGGAATTGCCAAAAAAGACCACTCTAAATGTTAGGTATTTGCAGATTCTTAATAGTTCTGCAATTGATTTATCTAGCTTAAGGTATTTTTTAACATTATCTGGTTGATCTTGAAGGATGTTAAAACTTTCAGGTCAGTGCTAGGATACTGGGTTCAATAATTAGAACTACTGTAGTTTAAAACATTTTCAAAAGTCTGCAAAGTAAATTTTTTGCAGAAAGAACTTCTCATAGCAGGTCATGTACTATGAGCTAAAGTTATTTAACAATGTCTAAGCATGGATGGATGGTACCTAAAAAATTCATACCTTGTTGGTCTTAAATTGTGAAAGTAGGAAATGTTCACGATGTATCCTTGGTGTCCATTCTTGCACTCGTTGCAACCTCCTACCTGGCCAGATGTCCACACCTACATTTGAACTAGTATACAAATGTATGATATCCAGTTATCTGGCAAGAATCCGCCCATCCAGCAAAATTGACTTTTTATATATATATACTCTAGGCACTAATTTGTTACTGGCCTTTCCAACTTGTCTAAAAATCTCAACGTAAGAAATACAGCTTATGTAAGTTAAGTAATTATCAAAAGACGGCAGCAAGCCGAGGAAGACTAGCACCATCAAATGTGTAGGATATTCATAAGGAACTAAATATCACTAAGGATAACTACTATAACAAAAGCAAACATCAAAGGTCTCATTTGCCAAGAATTCAAATACAGTACAGCTTAGGGTAGAAATAGCCTAAGCTACTCTTATCCTTTTGAGATGTATTTTATTGTCTATAAACGTACTATAAATTTAACTACAACTTAAGAATCAATGTTGTAGCAAGTCCACAGGATAGAATAAAACAAGCCAACACTGAAAGCAGACCCCCCTCCCTCCTACTACTATAAAAAAACAAATTGGATTTTGATACATGATGGCTCCAGAATCTGTATGTAAAATGCTGAGGGATGTAAGAAAAATTATAACTTCATAGTATGATTAGTTAAGTAATCTCATAATTTTGATATAAATTATGCAAATAAATGCCTCGCAGGTCTAATGGTAAACTACACTTTTTCAATATATAATCTTTCAAACTATAAGTTAAATGTTACTCACTGTTATGAATAGCTTCTGAAATTAAATCTTTTTTTTAAAATTACTGATAAATGAAGCTTCTAAATCCAAATCTAGTTTCTGCAGGATATTATAATGATTACGTTATGCTGTTATTGACGTTCTCTTAGATAAATAATTTACTGTAAATATATGCAACCAACCAAGTTATAAATGTACAAATATTTATGAATATACTTTTTGAATTTGAACTGTAATGAAATGAGCACGTTAAATGACGTGACAGCTGTTATGGGTTAATATGATGTGCAGATCACTGAGTGGAAGCAATAATTTAAATTGCTAATAATACAAAATTTAAATAATTTTAAGTACAAATTAAGCCTCTATTGAGATAACTAACTTGAACTTGATTTTTTAAATTATACATATTTTACAGTTAAATTTCACGCAAAGGAGGCAATGATACAAGTTCTTTAATATACATAATATATTTACAGATATATAATACACAAATTATAAACTTTCATCATTAACAGAGTATAAGTGGTGTGTGGAAGTAATCTAAAAACATACTGGTACCTGTCCTAGACTCTTCTCCCTGCAATTTGTACATTTAGGAAATTATTGAAAGCTTTAAACAAGATATTAAAATTAACCCATCATATCAACATCTGAAGTATTTTACAGAAGACCAGAAGTATAGAAATAGTAATTATCAAAAGAAGGCACTAAGCAGAAAACCAGAAATAACATACAAGAAAACTCATTTGTTCATTGGCAGCAGATTTCAGATCATTCAGCTTAGTATGTTGCCTTGAGGTGGGAGATCTCTTGGCGTAATCTCTCATTCTCTTGCAGGAGGTCTTCATTTAAAGAGTACTGGCGGTGAAGGTGTTCCATTACCTCCTGTAATACAAAACAAAAAGTTCATTAAATAACAATAACTCAATTCAGTAACTAAAACCTATTTTTATACATTTTTTAATAAATTATAAGTAAATTTCTTGCATTTTTGGAGGATTAAACTATAGCAGAAGATAAATGAAAGGGCCACACCACAAACTTGTGAGATTTTCTCAACTCTTGCTGATTCTTTCCAGTGGAAGTGCACAACTAGTCATGTGCTGATGAATTCTCTTGGTTAGCCTCTTTCAAGCTTTCAAGCAGAAAAACCGTTTACCAATACTAGAGAACAGTGATTCAATTGTCAATGTATGACAAGATAATGTTTATACTGTATAGCAGTTGTAAAAGGAATACGACGACAGATGTGATATGGAGAAAGAAATATCCAAATTTCATTATGCTCCTGCTGAAGATAACACTATTTGATCAACTTTTAACAACTGAAAAGGCAGTTTTATTTTAATGCAAAGATGTAAAACTGAACTGAACTGTACTGTATTGGAGTTCATCCCAACAAATGTAAAGTACAGTTTAGGAGAAGGGAAGAGATCATGACAGTATAGACAGACAGCTTCAGCATGGAATCCACAGCTGGTAACATACAAGAAATTTAAGAAAGTTCAACTCTCTCTATGAGAACAGTCTAAGAGAACTAAATTTAATAAAATTAGAAGAGCCCAGAGGCTCAATATCTAAAGATATGGAGGGAAAATATGTAAAGTGGAGCGCAAGTTTTTTCAAAGTGAAGGACAACAGATGGAAGTTGGAACTGCAGAATGTGCCAAAGAAATGTTAGAAAATACTTTGAGTAGCAGGGAAGGCACACTTAGGTGAGTATCAGGTATGTGAGTAAGGAGGCTGACATGCAGGGCTGTTGGGTGACCATGACCAGGGTGGCAGGATGTGTAGAGACAATGATTGTTTACTCATTACCAACTACTGGTTACCTAGTTTTCTTACAAGAAGTGGTTTGTTTCGTTTCAACCTGTGACTTTCTGGACGATTTCCTTGTTAACCCAGCAAGTAAGTAATTATCAAAAGACGGCACCAAACCGGGAAGGCTATGTAGCACCACCAAATGTGCGGAGTAATCAGAGTGCGCTAAATATCACCAAGGATGCCAATACGAGAACAGAAACGCATAAGGCGAACAATATCAAAAGTATCCGATTCACCAAGAATTGGGAACTTGCTTGGAACCCAGCAAGAAAAAGTTGATATTGTTAGTTTTTATATAACTTATTTAACTTAAACTGCCAACAACATCTCACATTGTTGCTCTTTTTTCCCAATATTGCCGATGATGCAGTGTAAGGGTAAACTACTGTAGTATTTGGAAGTACAGTACAGTTGTGTTACTTCAAATAATGTACTGTATGATTGTAAAAGGAACTGAAAATAGAGGCACAAATATTTTGACCCAAGAAAGAGGGCTGAAAAATGTGTTATACCCCTGTTGTGTGTTACACCCTGTACCTAATGCTTTTTGCCAAGGTAAGATGATAATCAGGAGAAAATGCTAAGCTTTCTGGCAAAGAAAACCAGGGTAATTCAGCATGTTTTCTGTCCACTGAAATCTCCAAGACAAACATCTTTCTGTCAAACTACAAAATTTCATAATTGTACTAAATTTAGTGATTACCTGCTGCTTGAGGAATTGCTTGGTTACCACACACTGTAAATGCATCAGACGGCGGTTCACATCATCCTGGAATTCTTCTAAAACATCTGCCATACAGTTGCGTATTAATTCTACCTGCAGTCGAGATACTCCATTGCCACATTTTACTGTGTCTGAAGAGAAATATGATTATTTAATTTCTCATTTTCAAGTTACAAAGAGGTGCTCTTCTGGAGATAATACAGTATACTAATGTAGGAAAAGGGGGGTTAAATATATTCATCCATGCACACGTGACAGCATCACAAAAAACATGTATCATCCAAGGGAATAGAGTGTATACCTGATAAGGACATGAATTGTGCAACATACTTCAAAAATTATTTAAACTACATCAATGGTCAGCTGGATTCTTTATGGAATTTAATCCCAGCAATTACAAAGTACAGTAATGAGAATGGCAAAGTGTGAAATAGAGGACAACAAAAAAATGCACTACTTAAGACAGACAGCAGCTTATAAATTGAGGAAGTAAGTAATTGTCAAAAGAAGGCACCAAGCTGGGAGACTGTAGCACCACCAAAGTCACAGGAGATTCAAAAGATGCTAAATATCACTAAGGATGCCAAATGTGAGGACAAAAGTGCATAAGGCCAGCAATATCAAAGGTATCAGATTCACCGAAGAGTCTAACAAGGGACAATGTCCCCGAGAGACAGTCAGGAAGTAAGATGCATGATATAGATTAAGGAAATAATAATATGACAAATCTAACACCAGAAGTGTTGCAGGATATCAGCAGAAGTGTATGTCAAGTTGACAAGAATATATAACAGACTTTAACACTTGGATAAACAAGTTCAGAACACTACACAACCTATGCAAGCCTAGTCATAGAGAATGCAAAGAATCAACTTCAGTATGCACAAATTTATATATGCTGTTATACAGGTATCTTTTATGATATATACTATACATACTTTTTATTAATTTCTGAATTACTTTGTGCTAGTCATACGTGCTTAGCAAAGTTTAGAAGGAAACACCGTGCTGAACAGTACTCCTTCAGTGTCCAAGTAGTGAATAGGTGAAATGAACTTGAGAAAGAAGTGATGGAAGTAAACTCCATCCACAGCTTTAAATGTAAATATGACAAGAGCCCTGAGAGATCGAAAGTAGTTGCACTAGAGGAAGGGCACAAGAGCTGCACCTTTCTTCATACAGATGTTAGTAGGCAAGCAGAAATTAGCAAATTATCTACAACAATTTTAGAAACTAGGGCTTATGTGATTTGTCATGCAAAATAGCATTAATTTCATATTAACAACCTGCTTCCACTCAGCCCTGTTTGCCACTACTTTTGAAAGTTGGTACATTCATACCACATTTTCACACACACTATCACATCTTGTTGACTTTCATATCAGCCTTATGAAAAACTTTCACACTAACATCTATTCATTACTAATTCTATCTTCCTACCAATCACATGCTCCTCACTGTTCCTTCACAACAGCTCCAACTTCCTTTTGTTCATGTTACATCAGGTTTTACACCTGAATACTAAGGTAGGAACAGCCACTGCAAGCAATCCTCTATCTGCATATATTTACCCCGTGGAATCTTTAATACTGTATATGACTAGTGAAGGAAATGCTAATATAGACTGCTTATAGATCCAAAGAAATAATGATGGCTGTATCTCAACTTGAGCAATACAAAAAAATATCAAAGCCAAGAGACAAGTCAGAGTAAACAGTATTAGGCAAGTACTAAACTGTGTGGTACCACACACCTGTACTGTGTGGTATCTTAATATTAGTACTAATACTATTTACTTCAACTTGTCTCGTGGCTTTGATATTTGTTTGTATTGCTAAAGTTGAGATACAGCCATCACTGTCTCTTTGGATCTATAGTAGTAGTAGGCATCCATCAGTCTCGGGAGACTATAGTGTTGTGCTCTGGTTCTCGTTTCTGGAGTGACCTCTCCAGGGCATAAAGCCAGGGTAGGTTGATATGGAGGAGAAGCTGTTATCCAGGCAACAGGTCCCCCCCCTCTTCACGGCGCCGAAAGTCTCCAATGGAAAGGCAAACGCCAATACGATCGTATTTTCTTAATACGATCTACATGCAGTCTATATTAGCATTTCCTTCGCTAGTTATACGTTAAAGATTCCGTGGGGTAAATATATGCAGATAGAGGTTGCTTGCAGTGGCAGAATGTATAGTTAAATCATGAGTGTCACTCATAACTACTTTTGCGCAATCCTTTGGCTGACTATTAATGATTATGTCAATCTCACTACAGTACCTTGGGAAAACTGAATATTCAAGGTACTAGCATATCAATCTTAACTATCCTTTACTATCTTTAAATGTTAAGTTTCAAACAGTTTTAATCCTATCTAGCATTAGTCTATTTTTACTGACAATATACTGTATGGCAATAATAACCACTGCACATTAATAACAATAATATTCTTAATACTCATTGAATTTTTGCTATAAATGCTAATTCCCTATACAATTTAGCCTACTTTTCCAAATCCAAAGTTTTTTTAAGATTTGTTCTCATTACAGAAAATACAGGACATATACAAAAAAAAATTTATCCAATTATTTTTTGACATGTACTCACCCAGTTGTGCTTGCGGGGGTTGAGCTTTGGCTCTTTAGTCCCGCTTCTCAACTATCAATCAACTGGTGTACAGATTCTCGAGCTGGGCTCTATCAAATCTACATTGAAACACTAAGGAATCTGCCTCCAACACATCATTGCTTAATGCATTTCATTTGCTAACTACTCTGATGTTTTAAAAATTCTTTCTAATGTCTCTGTGGCTCATCTGGGTACTAAGTTTCCACTTGTGTCCCCTTGTTCGTGTTCTGCCCCGTGCTAAACGGATGCCCTGTCAATTCCCCTGAGAATTTTGTAGGTGATTATCATGTCTTCCCTTACTCTTCTGTTTTCCAGGGACGTGAGGGTCAGCTCCCTTAGCCTTACCTCGTAGCTCATACCTCTCAGTTCTGGGACTAGTCTAGTGGCAAACCTCTGAATCTTCTCTAACTTTGTCTTGTGTTTAACTAGGCTTAACATGTGTGTTAGTTAAACTATGCAGAAATTGCACTAACTGTTTTGATTAGCTCAACAATACCTGATACATTTGTAGGAGACAGGCCTAAGGAGTTTTCTTCTGTAGATTTCACTCCATTTGGACTCTCTGCAAGTAAATCGCTGGCTTGAATAGGCCACATAAATGACCGTGTAATTGGTGGTGATATTCTTGCATACAAAGTTTTCTCCATGCTACCAAGGTCCTCTCTGGATTCTGTAGTACTTGAAGATAAAGATTCATCTGGCAGTACATTTTGCTGAGCTGAACTAGGAGGAATTTTATTTTGGTTTTCCGTACCTCTTTCTTCGGAGCTTCTCGGCAGATTTTCCACAGGCTCAGAATCTGTTTTTGTATCAATAGCCAAGGATCCAGAACATTTTGAGCCATCAGTGTTTTTAATTTCTTTATTACACATATCTGGATCTTGCTGAAAATTCTTACCAAGTTTTCTGGAAGTATTTAGATTTATATTAGCAATAGTATTTACTTGGGGATCATTAGCTTCACATAATGGAGAGAGATGCCCTACTTTGTGGGATGTGGCGATAGAAGGGCGAAGTTGTAATTCTGATGCATCAGCTGGTTTCACATTCTCTTTATCATTTCGTGAGAGAGAGGACATAGTTACACCAGAATTTACATTTATCTGTGACATTGCCAAGTTTTGACTGGGAGAGTTGGTCGTGCCATCCATTCCGTATGTAGCTCGAATTGAAGTCAAAAGGTCATCTGAAATTGAAAAAAGTTTTAATGGAAATTGTATTTATATGGACATGGTTACCCAGGCATGCTCAGGGTTGTTGATGCTGAATATAAGCTAAAGGAAAGAACAAGTACATGAAGGTGTAAACTTTTCTCGTCCAAAGCACTGAACCTCCAAATCAAGCAAATTTATATGCAGTACTGTTTTATGACCTCATAGATGGGAATGTGAAGAAGCACTTGCAAAGAATGTGGGTGTCATGTAGCCTTTCTTGGTGGTGGAGGAGTGTGTGTGTGCCTGGTTTTGTGAGGGAAGTGGGAGTGCTTCCACCCAATTGTAGCGTCTTATTTGAGCCTCTTTATCTACGTACAGTACTTGCCTAAGTGTAGTTACAGGATGAGAGGTGTCCCTCATGGCTCATGGTGTCCCATCTTCCCAGCACTCACTATCATATAATGCTTTGAAACTACTGATGGATTTGGCTTCCTACACCTTCTCACTTAACTTGTTCCAACTATCTACCGCTCTGTTTGCGAAAGTGAATTTTTTAATATTTTTTCGGCAGCTCTGATTTAGTTATCTTGAAACTGTGACCTCTTGTTCTTGAAGTTCCAGGTCTCAAATTTTTTTATCAATTTTGTGAACTCCCATTACTATTTCGTACATAGTACATGTGCACCTTTATCAGAAAAGTGGTAATATGTATGTTCTGTTAATTTTATAAAACCAGGTGATCACAAATCCCCTGCTTTTTGCACCTCTGTGAGGGAGGGAAATGTGGGGGGCCAGGTTTTGGCCTCTGGTCCCCAGTAGGCTTTGAAGGACCCCGTAAGGGTTGATGTGGCTTATAAGTGTGGAGCCATCTCAGTGTGGCTAGCTACACAGAGCTACCATTTGGCCCATCCAGAAAATACCATACATTTTCAATGTACAGTACTGTACTGCACACAGAAGTGGTAAAAAACTACTGTATGAATATGAATTAGTGTGATGCTGCAGTGTATAAGCTATGATGAATGCATTTGCATCATTATTTAATATTATTAGCTCTATGTTACTATATATCTCCTCCAAATTGATGCTTCACCTCCCCAAGAAAGTTGGAACTGGTAAAATGATGATGATGATAAACCAATCCCTAACACACGAAATGAAAGTAACAATGTTTCAGTTTGTCATGGATCCTTATCAAGTTGAGTTATCATACTGTGACATTCTCTGTGTGATGTTGCTGTTAAGTACACAACTTGTGTGACGTAATTATTATAATCAACATACGGTTGGTAGATATGAAAGAAAATGAAAAACACTTCCAGTTCATTCACCGAGTTACTTTCTTGCAATGTAACCGAGATATTTGTGAAAAAGATCTTGGGATCATGGTTAACAGATATTTAATACCCCAAAAATTATGATAATATATAAATACTCGGCATAAAGCAAATAGGATACTGTATTTGCATACATTTCTAAAAATGCTAGCAATAAAATAATATTCCTAAGCTATGTCTTGCTCGTGTTTGGTCCCATTTGAATTATGCAGTTCACTTTTTTTTTCATACTGTGGAATTAGCATAGATTCCCTTGGATGCATTTAGTGAAGGATGACAGGAGTGGTCCCAGAATTTGGAACCTTTCCAATATGAGGAGAAATTTGGAAGGCTTAATTTGAATTCCCTTAAGGAGTGAGGAATGGGAGAGTGACATCATCAAAGTGTAAAAGTGGATATTAATAGGGTGATGAGTATGTCAGCACAAAATAAAACACGAAGCTGTGAATAAGGGTTGGAGAAGTTAGATTTGGGAGTGACCTACATCGATGCTGGTTTGGAAATGCAGTTGTTTTGTGGAGTAAATTGCCAGGTAACATGATAGATGTGGGATTGCTTTTTTGAGTATTGATTGGACATGCATACAAGTGAACTTGGTTTAATGTGGATGGGAGCTGCCTGAAATGGACCAATAGGCCTTCTGCAGCTTCATTTTGTGTGTGTTCCTGCACATAAATCATATACAGTATCATATTTTCTCATATATATTTTGATTAAAGTTTTAACAAATTAAAATAATAAAAAAAAGCAGTGGAAATTGTGACGTGTAGCTCTAAGATGAGCACCACTTACGTCAATTGTCCTATATTCCACTAGACTACAGGATGTATTGATCAAAGAGTTTTGCACAAACCTTTTTCAACACTACTCCTTAGCAGTTTGATTGCTAATGGTGAGAAGTTTCCTTTCAAGGGTTGGTCATTAGGCCTTATTGGAGACAATACATCATTAGTGTTCAATGATTCAGTTGAACTATCAAGACCAGCCCATTTCTCGAAACCTTGCTCAGTGTTTATCTGCTGGGAAAACACACTTTGCATTAAATTCTTGCCTATGTCACTATTTTTATTAATGTAATTTCTTTCATCAACATGGAAAAAAACACTATAAATACATAATATAGGTTAATTAACTATAGCTGTATTTTAAATTTTTAGAGCTTGTGATTAACAGTCTAATCCTAGGGTTCTAGAAATTGTAATATTGTTTTCAAAGTCAAAGCATGACTTTCAAAGTTAGAGCATGACTAAAAATTAAGCATGACTTTCAAAGTTAGAGCATGACTTTCAAAGTTAAAGCATGACTAAAAATTAAGCATGACTTTCAAAGTTAAAGCATGACTAAAAATGAAAGTTGTAACCAACTTCTGCAGCCGAGTCCATGGGCCTTATTGGAGAGAAAACATCTGGAGAAAGCACATCACTTGCAGGAGAAGGGTAAGACTTTGGTTTCAGAAGTGAGGATGGTTCTTCAGGTTGATCAGAACAGGACCTAGTATAACAAACAATGATTCAATAATGTGTTCTTACTGTCAATGACAAGCTGTATATGATTTACATGTACTACTAAACAAAGTAATGGATTCTGGATGAATAATTTTTTTATTTTCAAATTTCATTCACCTTTATGTGCTTGTAGGGCAAGCAACAGCTCTTGGGCTCTATCTTCAGTTGCCTGCTGCAATGGGTTCCCAACCCTTTCTTCATATTATAATACCTAATCTTCAAAATAATTTTCAGAGTTTTAAGAGTAGGCATGATATTAAACATGAGAGTTAGGAGTCACTGCAACAGTGACTTAGGGGATCTCACTGTGCCTCATTACTCCTCTCATCTAAAATCAATTTGAAGATTCTCACCTTACTACTGCTAATTATGTGCACAAGTTATCTCTCTGTTGGCAACATAAATAACAATGGGACTAACCTGTGATGAAAATCACACCCTAGAGAAAGAGGGAAATGGGTTAGATTGAGCATTACTCGACCCGCCAAACTGCACCCAGCAAACCTTCACACAATTCAACAAATTTTTTCTTTTATAAGGAAACACTGTAAATCTCCTCGAGATGTAAATTGAATGGTTCAGGGAATGTCGGTTTGATGGCTGGATTTGAAGTTGAAGGTAGAGCACCCTCTGCCAATCAGAGCAGATGATAGGAGACGCCAGCCAATCAGCGAGTGAAAGGTGGTGACGTTACCTTCATACAGCTATGTAAGGTGGGCACAATGTAAATTGACATCTCTCTGTGATTAGCATCAACAATTGGCATGTGTACTTTAGAGGCAGGCATAGCAAGTGCTGATGGCAAGTGGAGCCTAATTGTAATTACTGTGTGTGGTAATTGAAACAACAACAATCTACTGACACCGAGGAGATTACCCCTAGAAAAAGTTTTCAATAATGGAAGTAGAAAATAGAAAGAAGCGACTAGGGTTAACCCTGACAGAGGAATCGTGATTAACTTGTCTGTACAGTGAGGCAGATATGGTGCATTTTGGCACTGTTTAAGATAATTAGTTTGGAGTGAACAGTGAAAACTGTGGGTTAATTGAGGTTGTAAATTGACATGATGAATTTATAGTGAATTGTGAAATTATGGTAAATGTGGATTGTTAAACAACTGTGAATGGTATACCAAGATACTACTGTACTTGCCAAAAATTACTACAGTATTGTACTATTATAAGTATTATTATATCCCCTATTTACAGGCAATGTTCAAACCACTAAAAATTAATAAGTTTCTTTTAATTAAATTACACTGTATAAATTCTCCTTTTCAATTATTTGCTGTCATTTTTCTATTGAGTGGTAGTTTTCTATTTCTATTTGTACTCTTTCTGTTGAGAATTCCATGCACTACGTACTATTATGTAAGAATGAACACAGTACAATATCATTTTTTCAGCTTTTGAATATTCCCAGCATTCTGGGTCAAAAAATCTGATTTGACTCCTGGTAAAATTGTTGATAAACAATATACAACAGTTGTTTTTTACTGGTGAATGAGATGTTGTGAGAATTTTTACAAAAGAGAAGAAAATTATAAAAGATTGCCCTCATAATCAATCTAATACTGTAAATTTAACTTGAAATATCCCAAGAACTCCTAAGCTTACCTCTAATTTGCAGGCTGCAAAGAAGTGGACGGAGTATTCGTTATAAGCATTTATAATATAAAATCACATGGTTGTAGTACAGTATCATGATAGTACTTTCTTCATCAAAGAGGATTATAGCATGTTAATACATTACTGTAAACTGATATGATTCTAGGAAAACCAAATGCAGAATGACTTGGCTCAGAATGAACTTCATACAGTTCAGTATAATGAAACCAAAAATTTGGTTTCAGAGACCTAAAACATAAATTTTCTTCCATTGTTCTTTCAACAAAACACATATTCCATTGTAAACAAAATTACGATAGAGCTAAAAAATGTTCTTGGGGCTTGGTACGAAGCACGATGCCGAACTGTAATCAAAGTCTGCAAAACACATGTCTAGTCACTTTGTAAAACGTGCTTGTCTGCTGGGCACAAAGTGGAAGTGAAACAGGTGACTGGGTAAACTGCATCACACACTAAAACGAGAGCTTAAGTGCCTGAAACCACTCATTTCTGGCCCAATCACCTCTGATATACTTCTAGACAATTTACACACAGCCGAATCTGCCACTGCAGATTATGGATGATGACACGAGCAACGACACTGCCTCAAATCCATGTACTGCAGTTTGTTCAAGCACGGTCAAACTGTACTTCCATAGCTTGGATTAAATTCTACTAGCCATTTTTTTATCATGTAGTTTGCCTTTCTTCTGAAGCATCCTGGAATCTTCTTTAGTCCTTACCTATCTCACCATTTTACATTATCTACAAATCTTGTCAAATTAAATTTTAATGTCTTGGACTGGTTACACAGACAAGGAACACACTAAGGATCCTAGGTCCAAGCATTACAGGACCATGCATGCCATTCCTTTCACTCCAACCCTCTATTTATTTTGCCAAGTACTTCCTTACCTAGTCCAGTGTCCTCCCAGTTATTTCAGTCTGCTCCTCCATCTTGTGTACTAGCCTTGCAGGAAAGTGGTATTAAATGTCTCTGTACAGTCTAGAAAATGTGCAATCCACTCATCCCTCTCTTGCCTTATCTTTGGGGACACAGTTGTAGAATTATCAAGCTCATCAGATATGATTTGCTTCCTCTTAAGTCCATAATGCCTCTTTGTTATAAAGTTTGTCCTTGCCAAATCCTACACAATTCTCTTCCTGGTTATTTAGTTTAATACTTCACATGAAATGCCATTCAAGACACACTCGTTTATGAATACTGTACTGTACATGTATTCCACATTGTAATTAATAGTCATATATCCTACACTTATCACCAAAGCAACATAGGATTTTAAACTATTATTAATGGTTACACAGCAATTCATTATATTAAACTAAACACACTTCCACAGCCACTAAATATGTAGTACACACACTTCATTCTCTGGATCTCCACATTTAAAGACCAAATGGTGACTCCTTAAATATTGCCCAGGGACCTAGGGACCCCAGGTACTATGGAAGTGGCACTATGTCCACTATAATACTATGATTAGGTTAATGATATCAATATACTAATTGGGGTAAGCAGTAGTAGGTTAAAGTAACAAGCATGCATAATAAGTGAAATTCCATCTTCTGATTAAGAACAGAATAGAGCATTTCTCAGTAGTTGAGGAAGCTGGCTTGGAATGCTTGGTCCCACACATACGGCTACTGGCCTGGGTCCTCCTGCCTTCAATGATCTTGATACGATTTGGCCAATAGAAAAATAGCAGCACTGTAGGCCTGCCTTGTGATAGGCTACCTTCCCTTCATAGAAATGTGATGTCACAAGGGGGCACTGGTGGGTGTTACTGCCCTAAGCTCTTCTGCAGTCACCTAATGTTGTAAACCCTTTGGACTAGCCCCTCTCTCAAAATGTCTCATCAAGCAGGGACCAAGATGGTGGCTGTTTCTAGAGAAACACATCCTAGGTTTCTTGTCTTAATTAACCAACCAGCTTCACACATTGGCCATGTGAAATCTAAGCTCTGGAAATGAGCTCTCTTCAGGAATTCCAATCAACAAAGGTATCACCTGAAATAGCGATGTCCCTGCCCAGCGTGCACTGCACATGCATCTCATTTCCATGTCTGTGATACAGGATCAGCTACCAAATATCCACTTCTTTACAAATGGTGTCCAAAGGGAAACTTGATAAACACCTCCAGTGGATACCTGATTAACCGACCTGTAATTCGTTTCGGACTATGGGCGGCATCATCTAATAGCATGGTTGACCAAGCTTTCAAGTCGAGCCTGGCCTCGGGCCAGGTTTGGGGAGTAGAAGACCTCCCAGAACCTCATCAAGCAGGTATCAAGCAGGCCACATGGACACTGATCCTCAGAACGATATCAAGGTACAGTATCTTCAACGTACAATGTATAGTACAGTACTGTATATGGTAAGAATTTTATTTTTATGGCAACATTACACATACTATATACAAAAAATTGCTCCTTATCTTTATCAATTGAATAAAAAAGTTCAGTTTCACTTACTTTGCTTGTTTTGTTTGGGGTACTGCCAGAGGAACATTAGTATTCTTCTGTGTTGAAGGCTTCCTGGTATGGCCGCCCACAATATTTTCAGACTGCCACATCAAATGTAAAAATGTCAAGAGAATGTATATATAGTACATACAAGCATGAACTTATTATTGATCAAATTACTATCTTATTTTATCTATAGGTACTTAATCTTACCTAATTTAACCTTAATACATAAAATGGTCTAAGTACAGTGACCTAAAACAGGATGTAAGTTCTCAATAATTATACTGTAATACAATATATATGTTTTGTTTGAAGTGGAGGGGGGTGGGGGATTTTTTTTACTTTATTGTATCCATTTTTATCTAATTTCTAGTAAGAACATTTCCATATACAGTATACCACATTGAATCTTTATAATTATTATATAATATAACAAGTGGCTTAAGTAATTGTATCAAGCCATACATGTTCCAAATATATTGAATATGATCATAAATGCAACAACTAGGCATACTTACCAAGAAACTTTATGCCCTTTAGTCACAGGTCAAAAATGAATTCTGTAATTTTCTTCTTGCATTCATTTGTGTTGCTGCATTGATCAATGTTGTTTTATAAATTTTTACACTTATAATGAGTAAAATTAATGTTCTTTCCATGTTTACCATTATTAGTTCACCATATGGTATTCCCTAGTCAAGGTCAGGCAGCCTCTTGGGCTTATCAAGGTCCCCTCTAGGCCCAACTACTGATGACCTACCAGGAAGCAACTGAAGCCAAATGCCCACAGGCACACAAATCCTCAGCCACCAGGGATGCCCAAAGGGACCTCATAATGCACCCAGTAAGGAAAAGAGGAGTCAAATTCAAAAGAAGAAGGGTCCATTATCGAGGTGTAATCTGGGTCTCGCAGGAGGTAAGCCGCAAGGGCCTCCCCTCCCCCTCGGCAGGATGCAGGAAGCCGAAAACCTTCGGAATGAAGGGAACTGAGGAACCTAAAGGAACCTGGAACTGAACCCGGGGAGGAGTCGAACCTACAACAAACTTGTACAGGGAGGGATGGGATAGGAAAACCCCTCCCCCTGTAACAACAAGCCCTGCACCGAGGGTACCAACACCCAAGCGGGGTCAAATGGGGCCCTAAGCCCCACAAGTCAACTCCTCCCCAGTCGTGGTTATCTTGATGTTATCTCGAGATAATTTCAGGGCTTAGCGTCCCCGCGGCCTGGTCCTCGACCATGCCTCCTTTTTGTTACACCCTCCCAGGAAGCAGCCCACAGCAGCTGTCTAACTCCCAGGTACCTATTTACTGCTAGGTAACAGGGGCATCAGGGTGAAAGAAACATTTTGCCTATTTGTCTCCGCCTCCGCTGGGGAACAAATCCAGGACCTCAGGACTACGAATCCGAAGCACTGTCCACCCAGCTGTCAGGCACCCAGGGATCCTCCAAGGCAGGACCCGGGGCCAAGCCATCCTCCAAATCTGCCTCTGGAGAAAAGCCAGAGTCCACTGGAAAATCAGGGAAGAAGGGGGCCCAATGGTACGACTCGAAAGCCCCAGCAGGAGGAACAGGTTTGAATGCCACCACCACCGATCTGGAAGGGGCAGTCTCCCGAGGCTGCTCAAGTCACACCACCAAGAAAGTCCTGCCCAGACTCCCAAAACCCTCAGACATTTGGGAGCTGGGAGCAGGGGGGAAGGGGGGGGGGGGAGGAGGATGAACCACTGCAGGGAAAGAACAAGAGGGTGCAGATGAAACCAAGGTTGAGGTGACTAGCATCCCCAAGTCTGGGTCCCTATAACCAAAGCAGGGCGGCTGAGGGGCATCTGGAAAGGCAACCAACCTATCACGTTGCAGCATCCTAAACCTCGCATGTAATGCCGAAGCTGCCTGCACCCGAATATTAATATTCGGGTGCAATAGGCCCTCCCACTAGGGCCTACATGGCCCTAGTGGGGGGTATGTACTACATAAAAATCAAGACCAGCCTTGCACCACTATACAAGTGTTGAGTGTTCCAAGCCAAGATATTGAAAAATAAACTTGCATATATATAAAGGTAACTGTACTGAGGATACCTAATTCAGGGAAGTGAGCAAGTAAGATAGTTGTATGTAGAACTCAAAATAATGGTACTTACCTTAGATCGTGAAGGCGGCTGAAGAAGCACACTGGTAACAGCTGTTTTATGTGCCGAGATGACAGTAATTGGTGGTCGAATTGAGCGCAGGTCATGTATAAATACTTGTCCTGTCATGCTACCCAGAGCTACTTGCTGACCACCCGCCAAGAAAGCTGCACTGGTAAGCGGTGCAGAGCTTCGATATGTCATTAAGGGTCTGAAAATACAATATCAAGGATGACCTTTATTGCAACCTTAACACTTGCACATTTCAATAATGCAATACTGTACGTGTCATCCTAAAAAAACTTCCTCAGTATACATTCCGACACTCACAATTCATTGATACCTACACGTTCACCTTTTACACAATATTTTAGTCACTATCTTTCGACAGTGATTTAACAAATGTTCAATTATTTAACCTCTATGCACAGTACATAAAAGCCTTGTTACATGTGAGGAAAAAGTCCTCTTTCCTTCTGACAGTTCTCACCATTACTTCATCACATCTTGTAGACTGTCTTACCTGGTTTACCAGACATGCCAGTTTCTGTATGTTCTTGTTGCCTCTACACTCCTGTATGCTCAAACTGGGAGCTCTTTGTAAAATACAGACTTCCTTTTAGTTGTTTTAAGTGAATTATAATGGCTCATGAGCACAAAAAAACTTAATGTTCGTACCTCTACCTTCCTTGTTTTGAATGAGTTAAGCAATACTTACAAAAACATTACTCTGTATTTGTACTTTAAAATGCTTACGATAAATTGTTTTAAGATTGGCAAGATTATTAATAGTGAATACTGAAACAAATTAGTTATAATGAACTACTTACTGTTTTGTTTGAACATTGTAGCATGCAAGTTTCTTGTCATAACCAACTGATATCATTAACATTTCATTAACAGGAGAGAACAATAAGGCAGTAACTGGTGAGTGGTGAGCAGTTTGGAAGGTATGGACGGTCTTGTTAGCATTAGAATCAAATAAGGCGATGGCCCCTCCTTCAGAGCAGCATCCTAATAAGGATTTCTTCACGTGGCTATATACCAAATCAGTCACTGCCTGCAAATACATTATAAATAAGGTGAACCTTGTTTAACATCACCTCAGTTATGTCATTTCATTTTTACATTGTTAGATAAATTAAAAAAATAAATTTAACAACAATTCTCTTTCTACATTTTTATTCATTCTTCCTTTGAATTTTGCCTATACTTTCTATTCAAACTTTCCATTTATGTACTCTTTATTTTCATATTTTTTTCTTAGTGTGAGTGGCGTCTGATTAAGTGATGTGACATCCAAATTGATATATAGAAATTATTTAACAAATGTCAGATACTGAACCGAGATGTCTATCTTCTTCGTATCTTGGGGTTATCTTGAGATGATTTCGGGGCTTAGCATCTCCGCGGCCCAGTCCTCGACCAGGCCTCCTTTTTGTTACACACCCCCAGGAAGCAGCCCGTAGCAGCTGTCTAACTCCCAGGTACCTATTTACTGCTAGGTAACAGGGGCATCAGGGTAAAAGAAATTCTGCCCATTTGTTTCTGCCTCCACCGGGGATCGAACTCGGAACCTCAGGACTAGGAATCTGAAGCGCTGTCCACTCAGCCATCAGGCCCCAGGTCTAGGGAAGGTTAGAGTACAGTACTGTATTGTCCAAGTTCACTTATCCAGACTATATAAGAAGGACCTTTCACCGGATAAGACTGACATTTGGATAAGCAGAATTCTTACCTGGGAAGTCCCAAAATTACCATATTCACAATTTTGTGTATCACAACCAACATAATTCAAATTTCCACACACACTATAAATAAAAAATATAACTTAAAACAAATGTCTGCTACCTTGTGGTCGTTCGTATTCTTGTTTGATACCATAGATATTGAAATATGTAGTTCTTGAAAATTCATATATACTGTAACCTAATCTCCGGTTATCTGGGTTTCTGTCTGGATATGGCAAAGTTTTGCCAGAAAATTATCTGGACTTGACTTAAACTATGCCAGTGTGTATTATCTGGCCAAATCTTGTTATCCAGTATCTGTCCAGATATGGCAAAGTTTTGCCAGAAAATGATCTGGACATGATTTTGGCCAGATAACCCAAATTTTCGGTTTAGCAAGCATCAGCTAACCGAGCTTGTACAGTAATTACTACCAAAGGACATTGGTAGTAATTACCACCATTGGTCATATATTGTTTAAACAATGTTTTTTAATTGACTTAATGCTACTTACACATACTGTAGGCTATATAAAAATAGGGGACAAAGCTGATTTATGATACATACCTGATTATTAAATATCTTAAAAGGTCCAGCTGTGGAGTTGTTTACAACAGACACGGAGTAGATGGTGCCTTTTCTTGACGCTGCTGTTATGTGGGTGTCTTTGTGACTGAAGCTAATTTGTGCTATATCACTCTCTGTCACCTGAAAATTAAAGTAATGCTCAGTGTTTCCTGAGAAATACTGAAAGCAACAGGTTATGCATTGCACATAAATTACAAAATAGCAGTGGCTAAATGGGTTAATGAAAAATACTATGATGCTTTGCTTAGGTGAAGAGCATATTGAAAACTAGAACATATAGATATTATTTTCTGTTGCCAACATAACATACAAATTATGCAGAAAACCATCATAAACATGGGAGTGATTGATATAATATGAGGATACATTCTTGGCATTGTTTCAGCTACCACATGGGATTGTTTCCTCGTGTCAAACAGAAGGCAGCACATACCAGTCCTAAGTGCTACTTTGAAGGACAGGTGTTACAAGATGTGGAAACCTTGTTGGGCACCTTGGCTCACATTTTTTCCAGGAAAATATTTGTTTTCAGTTGTAGTTACAATCAATACAGCAAACGGGTAAATGGAATAAGACATAAGGAATGTGGGCTAGAGTGCTAGGGAAGGAACCAAAGTCCTAAATAGATCAGTCATGTGATGGGGTTATCGTGTGATATACCAACACACTGTATTTGTACACCTCATTCAAAACTCAGGAAAGATATGTGTAAGAATAAGAAGTTAAAATTAGAATGCTACTGACAAATACTAGAGCATGGCTTTAAACTTACTGAATACATTTTCAACTGTGACTGTAACTTCACATTCCAAACAGTCACAGTACCATTGCGGCTACCAGCACCCAAGATATGAGGAGATTGGCTTGCAAATTTGATAGAAGTTGGGGCTTCCTGAAAATAAAAAAACAAGTCATTTCGGTTTCCTAAATAGCAACTAAATAAGTTACTTCAGAGGGATTTACCAATCATAAACATTTTTTTTTATCCTGAGGGATATTTATAGCCCTATTTATAATGATTAGCAAAACTATTGCTACTAACATTTCACAAACATTAGTATTACAACCTGATTGGAAAAAGTATTTCCTAATGTAACTTTTCAGTGAACTTCATTAACATTTATGTTATGGTTCTTATATTTTCTGACAACAGAGGAATTCTTAGTCAAAAGATGTTTGAAAACTAATCCACAGATGCCAAGCATTAATGAATGCAGGAATGAATACATGTATCATTTCCACCCACTTTGTTTTTATATAAAAATTAAGAAATTGAAATTGGTATGAAGGAGGAGAAAAAGCAAATAGTAGTCTTCTACTTCTTGGTTCTCAGTTTCTTTGACCTTAGCTTCCTCCAAGTCTTAACGTGCTTACAGGAAGCATCAGTCTCAAGGTTCTTCGGAGTTGAGCCAAGTTAAATGATTAAATACTGTATATACATTTCCTAAAGTAGTTCAAGTACAAATATTTTTACTAGGTTTTCCCTAGGACTATTTTGAATATCTTAACACTGTACTCTTTCTTTAGTGATGATTTCTGTCTTCTGGGAAAATAAAGCCTTCCAAAATTTTACATCAATGCACTTTCATACCTCACCTGAGTATTTTATAATGCCACCCATTTTAAAACAAAGTTGAAAGCCACAAAAATACTTCTGACTAGTTGTCACAATCACGGACATCCCTGTATTCACCTAGTTGTGCTTGTTGGGGATTGAGCGCTGGCTCTTTCGGCCAGCCTCTCAACTGTCAATCATCATTTTTTTTTTTTACCATACCCTGTATGGTACATTTCATGGCTTATTTGCTACACAGCATCATTAACAGATCCCTGTATAACTGTGACATTGAAAATCTTTTCTAGTTTACTTGTACTTAACATAAACAAATTAACCTTCTCCAAGCTTACAATTCCTCTTACAACTCCTATGTTTGCTGCTGACTTGGCATTCACAGCTGACAAAAAAATTTCTTCTCCCGTTTCCCCCAAGCTTGCTATACATTGGCCATCCTGATTCCATGTTAGTCCACTAACACGCCCTAAAAAAAAAAAAAAATGGTTAAAATGAAATGTTCATCACAAAAAATCAAATTCTGAAAAGAGCTACATATGTCTACAATAATGTGTACACACAAAACATTCATACCAGTGTTTCAAAGTAATGTGTCAAATATAACTAAAGTATATTTTCTGCATGCTTTAAAATGATATACTTACCTAGTTGTGTCTGTAGGGAGTGAGAACTTGCAGAAAAACTTAGCCTCAACTATTGTACCTGGTGCATTTTATTTTTGCTTCTAACGTTCCAGTACTGTTATATTTGCTTTTCAAGTTGTGAATCAAGGTAATTTTCAGCATTTTTACCACAAGGTTGTTCTACTTGTTTACCACACTGTATGATGTACAGTACCTGGATATTCCCATCAAAGATTGTAACCTGTCCCTCTTAATCCATTTCTACAATTGCATTAAAAAGTCCTCTCTCCTGTTCGGTATAATTACTATATAATCCACCTAGAGCTGGAGTAATGTTAAGAGTGGGAACAGTCACTGTTATATCAGTTAGTCACAGGAACAGATACTGTTTCTGGTATCTTTATTACTCACTACATACACAAATGATTAAGATATAGGAATCAACAGCAATATTGGTAAATTTTCTGGTGACACTAAAGTAGGGAAGATACAGTATTAAAATCGGACGAAGAAGAAACATTACAGGAGAACCTAAAAGACACTCAAATTTATAGAAAATTTACATACAATTGAATGCTGACAAATGTAAAATCCAGGAAATGAAAAATATAGTGCGAGATATATAGCTAAACAACAGTGAAATTGCTAAATCAAACTGTGAAAGGGAGTTAAGAACAATGATTAGTAGGGATAGGGATCCAAAAGGCAACACAAATACAGTAGAGTACTTGAAATATGGCAAAAGGGTACTCGGATTCATAGTTAGAAATGTTAGTAATAACAGCTCTAATGTGAAAGAATAACTTCACCTTAACCCTTACACCGTGCATAATACAGCGAATTTAGGGGGCATAACATCAAAAAATATTCAAATTATGTAGAAAATAACTTAAAAATGTTAAACAAATCTCCAACTTATTGGCTTCAGTGTCGTGAAACTCTCATAAAAATATTTTCAGAAATTGATTTTAGACAAATTTTTGAAACATTAATGTTTTATTAATAAGAACAGCTCCTAATAACTGTAACTGAAGGATTATGCAGTAATAAAGAGATGCAAGCATCTGTCTTATGCTCAAAGAAGATGAATAGTAATAAGAAGTGTCCACAAAGTGGATATGCAGTTGGTGCCTTTATATCATTGCCAAGTAATACATAATAACACAAAACATAATGAATAACTATGTTAATATGATCTTGACTAGACCACACACTAGAAGTTGAAGGGACGACGACGTTTCGGTCCGTCCTGGACCATTCTCAAGTCGATTGTCAATCGACTTGAGAATGGTCCAGGACGGACCGAAACATCGTCGTCCCTTCAACTTCTAGTGTGTGGTCTAGTCAACATACTTCAGCCACGTTATTGTGACTCATCGCCTGTTTAATATGATCTATTTTGTTAATATCATATAAATACAATGTCCAATGTTAATATGTGTTACTTTCATCAATGTCCCAAAAATATTTTTTTAAGGGATTTTTTTTTTTAAGATTCTAGTGATTTTTTCTCCTTTGTTTATTATCTGCTTTTGTTTTAACCTTTATATCCTGGAGAATGCATATGTTTTCATAACTATGTGAAAATAGAATGAAATTGGTCAACAAATAAGTCAGTCACAACTAACAAAACTTAGAACTTTTAATTTTTTTGGGCTGATTTTTTCTCCTATTTCAAACTATTTTCTTTGTTTCTTTAGGTTGTTTTGATGATTTAGGGACCATATTAGGGCTTTTTCACTTATATAAAAGATACCCTAAATATATTCCCTAAATCATTACATTTATTATAATTATCCCTATATTTTGTGTTTTTTGGGGGTTATTTTTTCTTGACTTCATTTCAACACATATTGACCTACAACTTTCACATATTCGAGTACAAATGCCGACCAATATTTATTAAAACATACAATTAAATTAATGCATTAAAACTATCTTTATTCATTGTTGATAACTTCAACTTCAATTATCTCTGAAACCAGTTTCAACTTTGAGTGGCTTCTAAAATTCCAGTTATTAACCGATTCTCACTATTTTGACATATTGTGTGCTTTGCTGTCTGTTCTACAATCCCATCAGAATGGATTTTTCATAAACTTTATACATTTGGAGTTATAATTTTTTTTTGTCCAAATTTGCAGCATATTTCAAATGTCCTATTGACGATTTTTTTTACAGTAAACTATACTAAAAACCTATATTCTAATTTAATGAAAATGAAGATCATATGCTATTCCGAGAGAATAATAACATTAAATGAACAATTAATGATAGTTTATATTTTTTATTCTGAATTGAAAATCTGAAGTTTTCAATATTCAATTTTAAAATTAATTTTGATTCTCTGGTTTTTGAAGTTATGCTGTGATCATTTAGACAAAGTTGGAGCATTTGCCTACTTGATTATGCAAAAAAAAAAAAAAAAAAAATTGGAAAGTGTTTGTGCAAGTTTTAAAAACTTATCTTAAATTATTTTTTGTTAAAACATATATGTATGTATTGCTCGGTCTAAGGGTTAATTATGGTTAATGGTATATGTACAAAATGTCACATCAAATGTCCATAAAGGGATTAATATGCTTGATATGGAAGGAACCCATGCTGTCTGCAGGGAGACGGGTGGAGATAAGTTAAGCCATTAGTTATAAACATGAGGTGTTTTAGTTTTGCTGAGGATTTTATGACAAGTTGCCTCATTTCTAACCAACCACAACCTAACCTAACCTTAACTGTACCAGCAATGACCTAATTTAACCTAACCTAACCTAAGTCACCCAGAATACGCAAGATAGGTAATTTTTTTCTAATTCTTTTGTAAGTATCAAGTTTTGGACACTTAATTTTCATTCGCAAACTCACCATTTCCTGAAGTAATTTCTTGGCATAACTTGAAGTTTTGAGTGTCCCAGAGTTTGATGGTACTTCCAGCTGTAGCAAGAAGTTGCTCGTTATCCATGTTCAGATCTGTAATAATAACTTTTATTAAAGCAAGAAATCCGCTGCAAAGTGAACGAATTCTCCTGGTGTGAATGTACCAGTCACAACAGAAAATAGTTACAACCCCCATTGTACTTTCATATAAATATTTAAATGCTTAAAAAAATAATCATTCTAATTTAATAAATAATAATAATATCTTGGGCTGGGAAGCCTCACACACAAGTGATTCGTACTGGTAGGGGCATGTCCTCATGATCCTTTATTTAAATAACCTTAACCAACAACAAGTTTAAACCAACTGACGTGTCTCGGTGATTGTAGCTGATAATGAGGAGCCCAGGTGGCTGCTGACCTCCGGGTGGCGGGTTATTACCAGTGTTGAAGGAGGTGGAGGCCACAGCGCGGGTCTGCCCGAGGTTTAAACTGTAGTGTTGTGGTGGGCTGTGAATGCTCCCTTGGGCTGGTGTTTATATTATATTTCCAGTATAACTTCCTTATTATACACATTTTGTTATTTAAAAAGAAAAAAAATAATGATATTTTATCCTATACTTTGATTAATTTGCATATTCAAGCTTTTCTTTCAGTTGCAAATTGCAATGAATATATTTACTTTTAATGCATACTGATTCATAATTAAACATAAATTTATAGATTTACTTTTTAATTAATAAATTGGCAAATGTTCTACACTTATATTATATATTATGTTTAGAGGGTGATGTGTACATTATATAGGTAAACAAACATTTGGTTAGTGTGGGGTTGAGACAGGTGGTGGTGCGTGTCTGTCTGTCTGTCACTTTCTTCTCTCCTGTTTTACACAGTGTGGGTGAGACTGACAGCTATGGGCTTTTGAGAAGTCATTCCTGTGGTCGTTACTACGTGTCTTGTAATGTTTGTTAACAGTGACGCTGTGTGGAGACTGGCTTTGTTAATAGTTTGGTTTTAGGGGTTGTGCACGTTAAATTGACATGTTTGGAAGTATATGACTTTTGAAATAGATTGTTCCATTTGTTGAAGTATCACAGCTTTCTTCCTTGTATAGTGTGTTTGGAAAAATCTCGAGATTTTTGTTATGTTCTCTTATAATCCCACAAATAGTTTATACTTTTTTACAAATTAGAAAATACTTATTCAATAGTGCATAGAAAAATTAAAGGAATAATTTGCATGCTATAACAACATAAGAACAAAAGTATTATGGAAAATGTAAAAGGTCTCTTGACCCATATGTAGCAGCTCTTGCTTATATCCAAACATATTTATATATATGTCTAACCTAGGCTTGAAACAATTGAGTGATCCCACATCTGCTACATTACCCAATGATCTGTTCCACAAATTAGCAACTCTCAGAAAATCTTTGAAGCATGACGGGAATCGAACCAACATACACGTAATCCCAGATGTGAGCCTTAACCCAAGGACCATGATATGCTAAATATTATTAACCTTTAAATGTTAGCACTGACCACCTTCTCCTACTTATCCAGCTTGTAGAACCATTCATAGATAAAATGTGTGCATTTGAAGTAGACATGGTGCACATATTTTGCTGATACATCCAACAAAATCATGGGAATGAATGCTCTACTGTCTTCTGATAAATCAAAACAATCATGTTATACCTGATGTAGTCAGTGAGCAAACTATTCCTATCTCCCACCCATGCACTCCCACACCACCACCAGGCAGCAAGCCCTGGCAGGTGTTCGCCTTGTGACTTTATCGTATATTTTTATTTGAACCGCTCACCTCACCAGTTTATCGCACATTTTTGTTCAGACAAACCCAAAACAAATAACGGGTATATCTGGATAATTAGTGTCCAGAAAGCACATGGTCTTCTGTTCATGGCAGTGAGAAGAGAGGTAGAAAGAAACTTTGAGAAAGGGATTACAGATAAGTGTTAAACAGATAAGTGTTAAAGTGTTAAGTGATAAGTGTTAAACTGCATTACGACGACCAGAGTACAGATCTTTGGCAGAAACGTAGGCTTCAGCATTTGAGTAGTTATCAGGAAGAAGTGCACCTGCATATTCATTAACAGGTTCATCACCAATAGGATGGTAATAGAGGGGTCTGGTAACCTTTACTGGAGGAGGTTGTAGCCTATTCTATAAATTCAATAAAATAAAATTGTATGTAGAGGATAAAATCCAGAGGTTGAAAATGGTGATCAGATTGATGGAGAATGAAAAGGAAATGTGTGAAACACTAAACAAGCAGTGTCAAAGTGCATTTGTGAAAAATATAGTTTTCAGAGGACCAGACACAATATGAATGTCAGAGAATAACATAAGAGTACATAGAGGTGTTTAAAGATGAAGTGGAAAAATGCACAAGGAGCTAGGGATAAACAAGGCAGTTGGCCTTGATGGGGTTTCACCTTTGGGTCTGAGGGAATGTGCATCTGTGCTGAGCATTCCACTTCAATTGAGTTTCAGTCATCTTTGTTTACAAAAGTTTTGACATAATTATATGCCAGATCCTGTTAAGTACAGTCAGGTTCTTGACGCACAATCAAGAATTCCGGGTTCAAGTCCTGGGCAAGACAAATGGTTACGTGCATTTCCTATAACCTAAGGTTCTGTAACGTACGGTTATGTTACGTCGTTGGGTTGATTAGATACACAGTGTTTAGTGAGTTTCATATTTATTTAGTAGTCACTGGATACAGCAGTGTCGTAGACGTTGAGACGAAGCCTGGAGCAGAGCAGAGAGCTGAGTGAGGCCGGAGTCGTGGAGCTCTATGTGGGAGAGCGTGGCGGCTCGATTGAGAATTGTGAGTGTCTAAACTCGGGGAGCAAGAGCGTGGCGGCTCGATGCGGTCGTAGTCTGCTGTCTGCTCTGTGTCGAAGCTGTAGTGTCTTGGGTCGATTAGGACTGTACACGCCAAGTGCTACATTGTTGGCTGTGGAAATTGAACTGTTTGATATTCATCATATCGCTTGCATATATGGTGATTACACCTCAGCTCCCTCTAACAAGGTGAGATGAGTATTACCTGTAATTGGGGAAAGGATTGTAGCTTCTGTAATTAGTGTTAATTAGTTATGCTATAAGATAATGGAGCGAGTATAAGATTAACTCGCTACAGTTCTGTTCACCTAGCAATAAGTACGTACTCAGAAGTTAGTCAGCTTGTTGTGGGGGTTGCATCCTGGGTGGGGGGAGGTCAGTAATTTGACCTTGGGGATGGGGACCTTAATATAAGCTTAATGTGTATATTTGACCTTGGGGATGGGGACCTTAATATAAGCTTAATGTGTATGAATACACTCTGGCTTCCTGTCTCCCGACACAATGAATTATTATACTGTATATGGAAAAGGTAAACATGGTTTGCCTTTGCCAAGGGATGACAAACGGGGAACAGGTTAAGGGTTTGCTATCTGGGAGCTGGAATTGGTGACAACCGTGAAGAGCTCAGTCCCCCAGGGTACTGTGCTTGCTCCAGTACTTTTTCTCATCCTCATTTTGGACATAGACAAGGACACAATCTATAGCACTGTATCATCCTCTGAAGATGACACTAGGATTTTTATGAGAGTACACAACATAGAGAGCACAGCAAACCACCAATCAGATGTAAATAAAGTCTTTCAATGGGCTACAGAAAATAATGTGGTATTTAATGAAGATAAGTTTCAGCTCTTGCGCTATGGAAAAAATGAAAATATGAAAGCAGAAACCTCGTACAAAATGCAGTCAAATCATAACATAGAACGAAAAAGCAATGTAAAGGATTTGGGTGTACTCATGTCGGAAGACCTTACCTTTAAAGAACACAATAAAGTGGCTGTCACAACTGCAAGAAAAATGACAGGTTGGATAACAAGAACTTTTCAAAATAGAGATGCTATTCCAATGATGATACTCTTCAAGATGCTAGTGCTCTCCAGAGTGGAATACTAACTTAATTAACTTGGTGCACAATGACAGCCCCTTTTAAAACTGGAGAAATTGCTGATCTGGAGAGAGTGCAGAGATCATTTACTGATAGAATCCACTCAGTAAAACATCTAAACTATTGGGATTGACTAAAATTCCTAAATCTGTATTCTCTTGAGCGCAGGCGGGAGAGATACATAATAATTTACACATGGAAAATAATAGAGGGGCTGGTCCCAAACCTGTACACAGAAATAACATCACACGAGACCAGGAGGCATGGCAGGATGTGCAGAATAACCTCATTGAAAAGTAGAGGTGCAATAGGTACTCTGAGAGAGGACTCTATCAACATCAGAGGGCTGAGACTGTTCAACACACTTCCATTACACATAAAGGGCATAATTGGCCGACCCCTCACAGTGTTCAAGAGAGAACTTGACAAGCACCTCCAAAGGATACCTGATCAACCAAGCTGTGACTCATATGTCAGGCTGCGAGCAGCCACGTCCAACAGCCTGGTTTACTAGTCCAACAATGAGAAGGCCTGGTCGATGACCAAGCCGCGGGGACGCTAAGCCCCGTAAACACCTCAGGGTAACCTCAAGGTAACATTGTTAACAACATGAATGATATTATGGCTGGAAATGGGAACAAACCCATTATTTGTATCAGTGTAGGTGGAAATGATGTTGGACGAGTTAGGAGTGAGGCACTGATACAGAGGTTTAAGACAGCCATAGAATTAGTTAGGAGCAAGGGTGGAATCCCGATCATATGTGACATTCTTCCAAGAAAGGGAGTTGGAAATGAATGGTTGACGAGGGCACTTGGTGTCAACTGCCAACTGGAAAAATATTGCAAATCAAATGCAATATCATTCATAGATAACTGGGAACACTTCTATGGAGAAAATGACATGTATGCTTGGGATGGGGTTCACCTATCTAGGGCTGGGGTTGTTGCTGTTGCGAACTCATTGAAACCTGTGGTTGGAGGGGCTTGTTTGGGTTTAAACTGTTAGTAGATAGTGGTATGGGAATTGACATGGAGACAGGAGGTAATAAAAGTATGTGTTTGTGGGGGGAACAAATTGGCAAAATGATAAATGAAAGAGAAGGGCTTCAAAATAATGATACACTTAGGGTATATTACACGAACAGTAGGAGTCTAAGAAACAAAATAAATTATTTAAATGCCTTGTCTGCACAGAAAAAAGTAGATATTATTACACCTACCGAAACATGGATGTAGAAATAGAGAACTATTAGCTGAATATCAAATGAATGGATTTAATCTATTTCACACAGATATATTAGACGAGGAGGGGGAGTAGCCATATACAGGTATGTTAGGGAAAATTTGATATATAGTCTCAAAGAGGGAATCAAAACTGAGCCTCACACATAAACTATATGGCTAGAATTAAATGAAAAAACAAATAATCTTATAATAGGAGTTATATACAGGCCACTAAACTTAGACAGAATGGAAGCAAAGCATCTATAGGATGAAATATCTAGAGCATCCAGGTCTAACAATATTTATCATGGGTGACTTTAATTTTAATGGAATAAACTGGTTTAACAGAACAGGGAATAATGAAACAGAAGATTTTCTTGAATTGATTGACGATTACTTTCTTATACAACACATTAATGAACCAACGCGGGAAAATAATATTTTATATTTAGTGTTAACTAACAAGTAAACACAAATTAATGACATCGAAATAGGAAGTGAGCTAGGGAACAGTGATCACAAGTAAATCAGATTTAGCATAGAATTTAGCAGGGGCAAGCAAAGACAAATCCTAGAGGTTTTTTCAGTTATATTGAACAAAGATTAGAGAGAGATAGGTCCACTAAAAACCCATTCACTGCTGGGTAAACAGAGACTACAGTTAAGGATTGGCGCCAAGTCAATCCTCCCCGGCCAGGATACGAACCCAGGCCATAACGCTTGCGAATGTGTTGGGTGAGTGTTTTACCACTGCGCCGTGGGGACTGGGATTTATTTATTGATACAAGGGTTCTTACATTCTTGTACAGCTACTAGCATGCATAGCATTTCGGGCAGGTCCTTAATCCTATTTTCCCCGGATTACATGCAATTACATGGCTTACGGAAGTAAAAAACAAGAGTCATGAAGAGAGAAGCTAAAGGAGTGACATATACCATAGCTAGAAGACAGAAGAAAAAGAGGTGATATGACCACTACATTCAAAATAGTAACATGAATAAAAAAAGTTGATAAAGAGAAATTCTTGAAATCTGCATCTTCAAGAACAAGATGTCATAGACTCAAATTATGGAAACAAAGCTGCTGAAGAAGCATTAGAATGTTATCTTTTGCAAACAGAGTGGTAGACAGTTGGACTAAGTAAAGTGAGGTGATACAGTAGATGCCAAAACCCTAAGTATTGTAGTTTCATAGCATCATATGACAGAGTACAGTACTAGAAAAATGGAACACCATGAGCATAGCTCACAATCAGAGAACTCTGTATGAACATCAAAGGTCCACAGTTGTTCAACATACTCCCAGCGAGTACTGTATAAGAAATATTGCCGGAATGAACGTTGACACCTTCAAGGGAAAATAAGATAGTTTGCTTCAAGAAGTGCCGGACCAACTGGGCTGTGGTGGATATGTGGGCCTGTGGGCTGCTCCAAGAAATAGTTTGTTGGACCAAGCTCTCACAAGTTTAGTTTGTCCCCGGGCTGGGCTTAGGGAATAGAAGAACTCTCAGAACCCCATCCAGGTACAACTACATTTAGATAATTGCTTAGGTAATTTCTGTTCTTTTATAAGACCATGTGTACAGTACACCACACAAATTATCATATGCTGTACATTGAACACAAATACACTCACTCAAGACTTCTTCCATCAAACCTTATGCAGTAAAATATTCACCTACTTCCTTGCCTGCCTCTCTTCTCATTTACATTCTATTCATGTGTATCATTTTAGTGCCCTCGCCTTAATCTTTCTGTTTATTGATTTTTCACTCCAAATTTTGTCATTTTCATTCTTTAGCCCCCAATGTATTTTCTTAATACCACACATGTTTCTCAGATTATTGATTATGTACAGTATGAATAATTTTTACTTGTAAAGGTTTTTACTTGTGAAGCCTTATTGAGTGACTTTATTTTTTATTTTTCAGATTGAGTAAGAATGAGCTCACCAAAAGTTGACTGTGATGTTTGTGTTTTAGGGGACAGAAATGTAATCCCACAAGAAGATGTTTCAGGGGCAGCACGGATACGGAAATCCAAGAAACCAGAAATTCAAATATATCGTCCAGGAGCTCTTCGACAAAAGCGTTCTAGTGTTTCAAATGAGCATCTAATCTCAGTAACCCATGAAGAGAACACAACAAAGCCAGTTAGCACAAAGAAAGATGTTAAAGATAATGGAAAAAAATCCCTTGTGCAAGGAAGACAGGGATTATTGCAAGAACAGAAAATTATGAAAGAAGATAGAGCTATAGACAGTGCAACAAAACATAAGGAAACAGTCAATAAATATATTAAAAAAGGAAGGGAATCACATGTCGAGGTTAATGTTGACAGTAGTAAGAAAATCGGAAATGATACCCAATATTGTGAAGAGATGCATGCTAGTGAGTGTCATGCAAAAGAGAAGGAAAAATCTGGTTTTGGGACCTCTAAAGAGCAAGTGAAGTTGTCAAATGCAGCTGAGGATGTGAGGATTAAAGTACAACTACTTTCAGTAAACAAATTTTCAGCTTCCACAAATATTAGATCTGATAGTCACAAAGAGGGAAACAATACACATGAAAAACAAGAAGAAACCAAGTCTCCAGCAGATGTAAAAGTTACATGTGTACAATCTATGAATAAACAAGATGAAAGCAAGTCATCGGCAGGGAAAAGTGTTTCCAACATTCCTGTTGTTACACTTCCTGAGAAAGGAAGCTGCTCTTCTTTTGACTCTGCAAACTCTGGAAACAGTAAAACAGAGGTAAATTGTAAGTTAATAAAAGAAAATAATGCAAAAGTTGGATCAGAAAAGTACTTGAGCAGGAAGAATACCAAAGGTGCCTCTGAAAAAAACCCACTTAAGAAAGACAGAAGAGGGTCTTTAGAAAGATCATCAGAGATAAAAACTAGGTCAGCTAATCATGGTAAATCATTAATAGATACAGTTTCTGTTGAACTTTCAGAAAGTCACATAGAAAAAAATAAGTGGTATGACCATAATGAAGGCTCAAGAGAAAATAGAAGAGTAAATGATGGAAAAAAAGAGAGTGAAAATAATGAACAAAGCACAACAGAAAAGGGGGAAAACCCAGTTTGTGATAGACAACAAAGTAGAAGAAATGGAGCGAGTGAATGTGACAAATCAAGACGAAAGAAGGACACTTGGTGTAATAAGAATATGGTTAATAGAATGCCTTTTAAAAAGCCAAGAGAAAACGATGGCAAAACTGGATTTGATAAACAACATAAAAGAGATGGAAATTCTTCTGGAATGAGTAAGAATGATAGAAGTTATAGAGAAAGCTATGACTATTATTATACAAAAAGTGAAAACTATAAAGGAAAAAAAGCCAGTTACTCTAAGAATGAACACATTAATGAGTCCTGCAATCAGGTTTTAAAATCTCGGACAAAATTGAACTCTGGGTATTGCCAGACCAATGAAAAGTTTGAAAATAAAGAAGAAAATCCAATAACAGTTAGTGAATTGGCTGCTAAAGTTGATGAGCTGGCTGTTGGTAAATTGGCTTCAAAAAGGGGAAGTTCAAGAAGGAAAGGAAAAGGATGGCCTGACAATTCATCTGAGGGAAAAGAAGACCTTCATGGAAGCTTCATGAAAGGTAGTATGAGAGAGGAAAAATCTTCAGAAACTAAGTTAGAGCCTTCAGATAAAGCTCTAGCAGGAAATGAGAAAGAATCTAAGTGTGCTGTATCAAATATTGCTACTCCAGAATTCAGTGAAAAATCTCCCAGAGTAAAGAGCTATTCAAATGTTAGGGAGAACAGAAAAAACAGAGGAAACAAATCCCTTAATATGGGGAAAATCCATAGCAACCACCAAGAAGAAATTAAGATTCAAGTGACCATTAATAGAAATAGCCATGAAAGAACTTCAAGTATACGACTGAGGAGTGAATCCGATACAGAGGAATTTGAAAGTAAATCACAAAATACGCAAGGAGTATTGAGGAACAGAAATAAAGATGACGTGCCTTCCTTATCACAGAAACATAGCTCCAGTATGAAATCAAAATCAGTGGGGTATGGAAAGGCTGCACAAGATATTAATGTACCAGAGTTCAAAGACAATCCAGGAGAATTTGACATGGAGCATGATGTAGATCAAATGACTTTTATTGATGTTCCAGATGACTTGATAGATGAAGTGGACAGAGACATGTCTTGGTGTAATCAACATGTGGGTGGGACTAAAACACCCACTTGGGAGGACGAGAAATCAACCTGGAAGAGCAGGAGGGACAAACATTCTGAGAATGAAGACCAACAGAGAAGGGTTGAAAGTCCTGGTCGTAGAGCTGGCCTCATTCAGCTATCCACAACAGTGTCTGGTACTGATAATTCTGGCTCAGAACCTGCAGTTTCTCATCAGTTACCTGCTGCAACACAACAGCTGCAGAAACATTTGTACAATCCACATAATCCAAGCAAACCTGTGCTAGTTGTTCCCAGTGCCCGAGATTTACCAGTATCTCGGGATCCTCACCGTGAGGTTGGTAGGGGCTTCGGGGACAGCGTCACTGGGTCTCTTCTCGCGGAAAACAGCAATATAAGTGAGTATGCAGTTGAAGGTCGCAATCCAAAGATTGATCCAAGCCTCCTTTATAATATTCAGAAAGGCGAGATGGACATAAATTATTATGTCAGTAGTAACCAGCTTCCAGTGGAATTCCGTCGTATAATGGATATCCGCCATCATTTGCAGGGATGTTACAAACAACTCCTGACCTCTGATATCCGTATGTGTCAAGAAAAAAATGTGGAAGGTTGCTTGTGGAAGACATTGTACTATGTTATAATTGAGAAGTTGCGAGAATATATTAGCAGGGATCCAACTTTGAAAGATCGAAGCCTTTCTACACTCCTCATGTTGGTGGATGAAGGCCAGCGTTACCTCCAAGACTTGCTGGAAGCTCTTCAGCGAGAATATGGTTTTACCCTAGAGGACCATTTAGAGGAGGAAGGCACCTCACACACTGAGATCCGGGGTAAGGCGAGGATAGCATTGATGTCAGCTCAGAAGTTGCTTCTCTCGCTTGGAGATCTTGCACGATACAGAGAGCAGTACAGTTCTACTCCAAACTTTAATCTTGCAAAGAAGTAAGTCATAGACAAAATTTACTTGTTCTGTTTTGATATCATTTGAAGGAAAGGATAATTAATGTGTCCTTAGAGGTCATATATTTCTTAGAATATATGAACAAAAGCAGTAGGAATTATTGCAAAGGGACTATTAATCCATTCTGGGCAAAGCTCTTCTAGATCCAACTCGCTCCCCTTCATTGTATCTATAGAGTCTATCTGTAAAGCTAGTTATACTAGGTTTCTTCCTAATTTTTGTTAGATTTGGCTGAAATAAATATTTAGGATTTGCCTTGGCCAACACTGCTACTGTATATACACTGTTATATCAGAAGCACCATTCAGCTCTTTCCCCTCCTACCTGTGTCTTAGTACTATATTAAGAGATATTGTTCTGTTATATAATAATCATTCTGTGATTGATCTCCAGTTACAGAACTCTACTATAATAATTATATGTGGTGAATGTGTGATGAATTAACTGATTTTGTTAACATGATAAATAAATTGGGGATGACAAATACAAATCTCTCATGGATAGAGATCGGCTTTACAGTATTTTGTTTTCTAGCTTATCTGCAGGTAATATTCATAGCACTGCTTTAGTCAGTACAAAATATTTGTTTTCTGTGGGGTCACCCTTTGGCTTCCTGGAGCTATCGGCCTGATATGAGATATATTAGTCTAGAGCATTAGTCAATGGAGTACAGCCTACTGGGGACCATGAGCCAGAACCTGGCCCCCCTCAGAGAGGCAAGGGAGCAATGGCCTCTGGAAACCCCCCCCTGTGGTTGGAGGTATTCCTTGTCTGCCATCATCTGGGGTTAGGCACCCAGAAAGGTAGGTATAATAAAACAAACATCACTTGGTAAAAAAAATTGCAACCGAAAACTAAAAAGGGCAGCAGAACTCCTCCCAAATCTCAAGGAAACGAGCAAATGTCACATCACCACCGCTGCGCCACTCGTCTGTGCAGCTTGGGGGAGGGGGGAGTTTGCATGTAGGTCCCTCCTAACCACGCCACACACTGTGGTTATCTAGGTATGTTATGCAGGCTCATGTGTCAGGTTAGGTCAGGAGTGTGGTCTCACTGGTAGGTTTCGACGGGTTTCTTCAGCATGGGGTCCTCCTCTCCTGGGTTGTGGGTGCCGGGTTGTAGACCTGCTCGGATGAGGTGGTCCTTGATGGACTTACCTCTCTTCCACGCAATCATTGGTGTATCTTATGGAAATTCTCCTAAGAAGGGTGGTTACTGTATGTCTCCCTCATCCAGGTCTATACGTTTGTGAGTTTCTGTTGTAGTTTCCCCGCAAAACCAGAAAAGAACAGAGTACGGAGGATCCATCTCTTATCCTACAACAGTGGGGCCGAGGGCCTGAGAAGTTGTTCTCTGATCTTCCCGCCTAGTTTCTCCAGGGCATGGATCAGCGTTTCCTCTTTGCCAGAACATCTCCCGCAGGTTGTTTAGCTGGGGTTTGAGGGTTTCGTCTTTGCTGTTTATTCTTTTAAGGCATATTCCTAGGGAGAAGGATAATGATTTCTTCAGGGCTAGCGGATGGCATGAGTCAAACTTCGGGTATGTGTGAAGGTTCGTAGGTTTGTAATACGCCTTCGTGTTCAGGTGTCAGGTTGTCTTGTCCACATAAACTGGTGTGTTTAGAAAATTTATTGTAGTGTCGTCATGTTGTAGGGTAAATTTTATGATAATGTGGACTGTGTTCACCCAGGCAAAGAAACCCTCTAGACGTGGGAGTTCGCCTACCATGACTTCAAAGATATCGTCTATATGTCTGTAATACACTGCCGAGGCGTCCTCTCTGTGGGATCTGTCCCTTTCAAATACTACATGCATTAAGATGTCAGCAATAACTATGCTACTGGACGCTTCTATGGCAGTGCTCTTCATCTGTCTATATGCCTTACCATCAAATTGAAGGAGGGTATTCCCTCATTACATGGAGTATGGCTTCCACTAATAACTGTCTGTGAGGCGTCCTCTATACAGTGGTACCTCGCATAACGAATTTAATCCGTTCCATGTTTGTCATGTGAAACGGACGTCATACAAAACGAGTGTCCCCCCATGTAACCAGTGTGATGCACTGTGTTTATTGTGAAATTCCCCCAGAGTGCATGACATCAAATGTTCCCCAAAATATAATTTTTCTTTGCAAAATGATAAATTACCGTCCCTGAACATGTCTATGTAAAAATAATTACCAAATTCCACTTACTTTGCCTGTGAGGGCGTGGACAAGGTGCGCTGTGACGTCATCAGGGGCTGGTCGCCCGTGTGTGAAGCTCCCAGACACGGTCGCGCAGGCCATTCAAGCACTGCGTGTTGCCACAAATATATTTTCAAATATTTTTTCTATGCATTTCCAATGTGGTTTTATTTGTTTCTTTTATCGTATATGATACATATTTGTGACCTTTACAATATGTATACAGTAGAATGTTCATAATTTTCCATGGAACTGTGATACATGTGTCAGTAATGTGTCCACAATAAATGTTTATTGTCACAATATTACATGGTAAAAATTCACTAAAATTACAATATGTACAGTTTCTCATACTATTTACACAGTAACACACTGTAATACACACTCAGTACTTTGGAGGTGGGTAATAGTCAACGAAGTAGTCTATGGTGCCATGTATCCTCGAGTGTGTGATACACTCAGTATCCACGAGTGTGTGATATGCAGCGAAACAGCCAACGGGGCAGAGTGTCACTTTGCACTCCACGCACCAGGTGCTGATACATCTTCATTTTTGCTCTCTGTGGGTAGTGTTCCTGCATACTATGCACGCACGTTTACCCTTCTCCCATGATGCTGTGCCTGGCATATACTCGAGCAAGTGTACTTCGAAGTTCTCGTTACCCCTCAGTCTGTCTGGAGCTGCGTGTGGCATTGTTGCTTGCACCCTGTGCAGTGCAATGGAGCCCTCCTTGCCATACTTTACAAGCAGCTGTGACACAACACCTGCACTGAATGTATGTATTGACGGTTTCCTGCCAGATTTTACCAGGTACATATTGAAGCAGTTGAGCACAGCAACATCTGTTAGGTGGAAGAACTTTTTCGTCCACTTCACAGAATTGTACATGCACTCCACTGCACCAAGCATCATGTCACAGTTATCAACGAGGCGCATGTTCATGTTATAGTCTATGACACAGTCTGGTTTATACATGGGGAAACGCATCTGAAAGTGGACTTTGCCACTGTTCAATATGGCACCGGTGTGAATCATAGTCAGCATATTCACCTCGTGTCTGTCCTTCCACCGCACTGACAGCATATTGTCACACTTGCACAACTGGCAATCATCCACTGCTATACCAATACCGAACACTGGCATTTCCTTCCTGTGGGCCTTCACAGTGCCACATATGCCGGTGTTGTGGGCAAGGAGGTATCTGGTCAACAAGGGGCTGGTGTAATAGTTGTCGGTGAATAGGATATGCCCCTTGTTCAGCAATGGTTCCATCAGGGTTTTTACAACACTGCCGGAGAACCCGTGTTCATCTTGAGCTAGTATGTCGATGTCTGTACCAGAATACAATATCATGTCCAAGACGATACCAGTCTCACAGTCGCACAGCACGATAAACTTCAGTCCAAAACGGTGCCGCTCTGATGGGATGTACTGCTTGAATGCCAGTTGCCCCTTGAACAGTACTAGCAATTCGTTGATAACCACATTCGGTCCAGGTACAAAATAATCCCTGAACTTCCCTCTCATGTCACTGAACACCTTCTGTACCTTCCACAGTCTGTCGTTTCTGTCCTCATTTGCATTATTCTCGAAATGCATGCACCTGAGAATCAAGAGGAACCTATCACGCGACATATACCGGTTGAACACGGGAGATGGAACTAGGCTGTCTTTGTTCCAATAATCCTGGATGACAGCTTTCTTGGAGTGCCTCATCATGATGCTGAGTGCCAGAAACACGTACATTTCGTCAACTGTCGTGTCCTTCCATCACGTGAGGCAGGTAAAATGCCGGCGTCTGTGAGGCTGTGACCGTACCTGTTTGTCTCAGTCACAAGATGCGTCATGAATTCGTTGTCGAAATACGCTTGGAAATATTCCATTTCTATCATATCATCACCAGTATATGGGATTAATGGTGTAACACCAAAATCAGTAGCATCAAACGTTGGTATGTGAGGGACAAATGTGGCGCAATCCTCCCACACAAGTACACTCGGGGGTTTGGTGTTGGTGCCAACACCGCCACAAGCACCAAAAACATGGCTTCGTTGTCTGGTTATCTTGAGGTTATCTTGAAATGATTTCGGGGCTTTAGTGTCCCCGCAGCCCGGTCCTCGATCAGGCCTCCACCCCCAGGAAGCAGCCCGTGACAGCTGACTAACACCCAGGTACCTAATTTACTGCTAGGTAACAGGGGCACAGGGTGAAAGAAACTCTGCCCATTGTTTCTCGCCGGCGCCCGGGATCGAACCCGGGACCACAGGATCACAAGTCCAGTGTGCTGTCCGCTCGGCCGACCGGCTCCCTGGAGCTGCGTGCGGGTATGCTAGGCGATAAGGCAGATTTACGTACTGTAGGCCTACCACAAACACCTGATGTTGAGGGGCCACTGTCGTCATTGTCCAGTTGCTGTGAGACACTCTGCTGCCTGCCATGACGTGTTGCTGAGGCAGGAAAACCCTGCCTGGTAACACCCTCGCTGCTCGTACTCGGGTAGTCCACACTACTTGTATTGGAGCCTATGTCACTGAAGCCCGAGAACGATTCATCATTTGTACTGTCACTAAATAAACTTGCGTCTGGGAACATACATGGTGGTGGTGATGATAACGGTGTTGACCCAGGGCGGCCAGGCAGGCTGGGCGAAGCGCGTGTACCGTACACGCTCGCCACATCATCCACCACAGTCTCTCCTTCACTCGTATCAGACCTCTGTGTAAGGTCTTAATCTGGATCATAGGATCATAGTCTAGGTCATCATCCATAGCACCATCATCATACAAAATGTC